ATATTTTGCTTATAGCATTTTCTTCATACTGTATGTGTTAAAACTGTGCTCTGTAGATGCATATTAAGCTCAACAATCGCCTTTGCTCCTGTATTTTTTTAATGTTATAGTCCTCTTTGAAATCTTTCTGGCTCTGTCAGTAAATATTTTTCCCTTCCACAATTACATCTTACAGATGGCATTTGCCATTGCTTCTGACATGCTGTGGTGACTATACTGAGGTTACACCTAGAATTTAGCCTGTATGGAGCTAATCATGCATAAAAGTGATGACTACTTTTACTGGTTCCTGTGTAATCAATGGAAACCAATATTATTTTTTTAAACATAGTATATCATTTGTTTTGGACAACCACCATAGAGCTACACAAACACGTTTTCACGGCCTTAGCAGAAGACATCTGTGATGCTTTTAACATTTTTAATATTGGAACCCAGTAAAGAGCTTATGTAAATTATTTTTTATATATTCGATGGCTCGTTAAGCAAAGCATTACAAGTGATTATGAATATAAGCCTGTGCTGATTGACCTGGTGCTGGTTCTAAGATCTTTGGTGCTGTAAATATTACCAAATGCTGCATATTATGCAGGGTTAATGTAACACATAAATACAAAATCTTATTGTGTATAATTGATAAATTATATACAATATGACACTGACAGTATTGCTAAAAGATTCATATATGAACTTTGTGAATAAAGTGATTGAAGAAGTAAGGTTAGATACTTGAAAAGTATGTCATTATTTGAAAAATTCCTTTGTGAGGCCAGGGATTAAATCTGGATGTGTGAAGAGAATAGACAGTATTTTCCACCTCTGTACATTTGACTTATTTTCCATATTATTGGCAGAATTTAAGTTTGAGCCCTTTCCCTATTAAAAGTTTACTGGTAATTTGTCGTTACATGGGCGGAAGTGCTTCCTTCTTATTTATCTCTTCCACAGGCACTACACATACCTGACAAGATTGTGCTTATGCTTCATTATGTATCGAGGTTGGCCAAAGTTCATGTCAACAAGAGCCACTTGTTGAAATTCAGAATTCAGAAAAGTTCAAGAGATGCAACTAGATTTTTCAAAAACTGTAATTCCATATTTACATCACTTTAAAAGTAATGAAACAGGTTTCAAATGGAGAGATACATCTGACAACTTTGTAAAAAAAAATTAAACAAAATAATAGCTTCCTTTTGGGCAATGAGTAATTTATCATGTTTCATACATATATTTTATTTGCATGAGAGCCAGACAACTTGCCTACGAAAGCTGCATGTAACTTGTTACCCACACTATGGCTACGTATTATATATATATTATATGATGGTTTAAATATCCAGAATTACTTATTGTGCCTACTGAATCACAAATCCAACAGTCCAGATCTTATTTTAACACCTTAGAAAAAGAAGTAATAATGTTTCATTCTCTGCCGTGCTTTACACAGTTACAGTGTACTTTTTTTGTAGTGCCCTTATGTAATATGGTGATTCAAGCATTTTAACTTATTCTTCAAGAGATGGTAAAGGAATGAAAAATACTCTGCAATGTGTCATGAAGCATATAATACCATGGAGTTCTGGGGGGAGGACAAAGCAAAAAAATCAGGGTTTTTGATTAAAGACCTGAAAAAAAGCTACAGTCAAAAGTCGTTAATTCGGACACCCATAATCCAGATAGATCTATAATCCGGACCTCAAAGCTACAAACTTTTGCGCATGCGTCGCGTTGACGCATGCGCATAGACGTTTACGCGTGCGCGTAAGAACTTTACGAATGCGAATATGCGTGTGCGCAAGGGGGGCATTTTTCGCGCGCCGCTGTTATGTATAACAAACGGTATAAGCTAAAATTATCTAATTATCTATTTCAGTTAATGTTGATGATTGCGTTTTTCCTTAATTTTCGAATTGGATCCGGCTTATTATTTTTTGCAGACTGTAAGAGCAATACTATAAAAGTAAACTTGAACTTTCGATTATGTCAAATAGAATTTCCGATATATATTTACTAATATGTAAAGGATCTACAAAGCGAAAGTATGCTTCGAAGTCCATTAAACAAAAAGTGGAATTGCTGCAAAAAATGGATAAAGACATGAAGAATGTGACAGAGAGGTTAGTGAAAACGAAAAAATTTTGATTGACAAGTTAGTCGGTATTCTCGGCACAGCAATTAACGGGACTTGAACAGCGGAACTTTGTAACTGAACAAAAAATTATTTCTGTTTATAGAATTAAAGAGAAAGTATTATCACATAAAACGAAGCAACGGGTTTTCATCCGCAGAGAACCCGTTGGCGCTTCGGGAAAGAACCCGTTGGCGCCGTTGCATTTTTACTCGCCAAGCTCGCCGTTCATCGACGATGAGCCGGTCCTATTTTGTAAACGTGATTTTTAGTGCATGTAAATTCAAATTAGCAGACAAAACAATATATTAAGCATATGGTAGTAAAAATTCACAGATAATAAGCATGTAGATGTAAAACTAACCGGTTAAACGTGATATACGAAAATAAATGCGTATTAAATTCAAGTTTGCACAGAAAAGAAAAAATATATTAAGCATAAGAATATATAAGGATTTATAACGGAAATAAAAATTTATTTAAAAATAAATTAGTATTAATATACTGAAATTAACCGGTTAAGCGTGATATACGAACAAAATTTGTCTTAAATTCCAGTTAACACAGAAAACAATATATTCCTTACACCAGCATGGTTTGCTATTTTGATGACCATGGTGATGATGCATCGAACTATCTGACATCTTAAATAATCAATATTTTTTATTTCAATTTAATCATCTATTTATGTCACACCGCCATCCTATGAAAGGTTATTGTTAGAAAAGATAACAATATATATCTTGTTAAATTTTTACGCCATAAAAATTGATTTATATCTCATAATTTTAGATGACAATAAAAATAAAAGCATTACTTAATTATTTAAAATGCACATGCACATTTTTGCGGTTTACGAAATCAAATTATTTTAGACTTTGGAAACCTCATGGTTCTTAGAGCTGTTAATAATTAAGAACACAACGTGAACAGCCGTGTTACAAATTAGCATTCACCCCTCTTTTCATCCCGAACCGAGAACCGGCATCCATCTACGAAAATATTTCTATCTATTCGTTGTTAAAAATTCAGAAAAAATAATAATAAATAAGAGAAGAATAATATAAAGCTGCAAAGGCGAACAACGACAGTGTTAATTCAACAAAATAAACGCAAGAGGAATTGTTGCAAACTTCGAACAAGCGAATAGGATAAATGCGATGGATTACCAAGTTTGAACGATTATCGCCAAAGTTGGCGAGTTTACATTTACCGGGTTCTCTGAGGAAGTGCTTCCGAAGCAACTTAAACAACTGACATTGAAAGAAATGTTTAATAAAGTAAACAAATAAATATTAAGCTTTTTTTTTTTTTTTTTTTTTTTTTTGTAAATTTTGATACCCTTTAGATCATAATTGTTCTTTATTCATAAATTACGGTTTCATATTTTTAATTTTAGAATTTCTGCATGCCGTCTTACGCGATTTAAACTGATGATTTATAATCCGGAATCGCCGAAGTCCCGACGAGTCTGGATTAACGACTTTTGACTGTATTAACGCTGGGTCTGAATTGCACATGCATAATTGTGCTTAAGGTGGAAAAGGCAGGGATGGATGTTTTAGGGTTACTGCATCTCATCATTTTATTGGCTGTTCTCGATTAGCGTATTTTGTATATTTTACCATTTATTCTTCAGGTAATTAAATTCTGAACTAAAGAAATAAATTTGAATCAGTTTTTCTTTAATTCTGAGCCCTTTTGGAACTCTTAAATTACTAACAACAGACTTTGAATGTGATTTTGAAATGCATTATTTCTTTTGATTTTATAATTTGTGAAGTTTGGAATGTGTTTAAAAGCCAAATGAGCTGTGAATGGACTTATATAAAAAATTCGTCTTACTATTGTATTTTTAAAAAATTGTACTTATATCTGAGGCATTTGAAAATTAAGCAGAATATCAAAAGTAATTTTTGGTGTAATTGACGATTTCTTAAACTGGTGCTCGCAGGACCTGCAGCAGGGGGTCACCAAAAATTTTAGCAGTTTTGATATTTCTTTAACTTATTATAATAATGTTACAATTACCAAATATTTTTACACGATGTACCCGAAAATAGATAAAGATAAGACAATACAGACAAAGAAAAGAATGAAAACCTTTCGATGCATTATTTTTATAATATAAACATTCATTTTCCTTTCTTTGCATGGGATGCTGTCATTTTGTGTGTTACTTATTTAAAATTTTCACATTTTTCTATATCTTAAAATTAGAAATTGAAGCTAATGACCTAAAAGTGAAAAAATTGACACTGACACTCATGCATGTGTCGGTTTTGCACAATACTTATGTGGTCCTACAAAATTTTTATAAATGGGTCACGAAAAAATCTCAATAAAAAGGGGTCACGACTGAAAAAAGTTTAAGGAACCCTGGTGTAATTGATTCTGCAGTTTTTATCATCTTCAAGTTTCTGTCCATGACCTTACTTGCTGTAGTTACTATTAGCTGCTTCAGGAATAAGCTTTCTGTTTTTATTGAGTTTTTTTGTTTGTTCTCTTGTTTAACTTTAAAATAATTCTTAGGAGTGATACTGGAAATAACAACTTCTTTGTAACATTGCTAAGCTCACTGTAATTTAACTTGTTAAGACTTATCCTTTAACTCATTCCCTCAGATTTGGTATACATTGAATAGTTTTCCCTTCACATTTTTCAACATGTAAAATTAATAAAAGTATAGGGATACTGATATACCAGTTAATATGGTACTTCAAGTTTCTAGATGGAAGTTTCACTGTTTCTATAACTGATTAATTTAATTCTCACAACATAATCTGCTAAAGCATCTTTGTCTTTCCCATGTATGTCTGTGTGTGCGTATATATCCTTATATCAAATTATACAACAATTATTAATTTTTTAGATATTAAAATAAAACTTGATCGTCTGAATGATTTATGGGCAACAATTCAGACAGCAGCACGGAACAGAGGAAAGTCTCTGGAAGAAGCGTTAATTGCTGCTGAAAAATTCTGGGATGAATTGACTGCCGTTATGAATGCACTTAAAGAATTGCAAGGCAATTTGAGTGGACAAGAACCACCAGCTGTTGAACCAGCTGCTGTTCAGCAACAACAAGAAGTGCTACAAGTAATTTGTAATATTGATCTTACAATTATTGCACCATAAAGGAATGATACATTAGCATTTTAAATAATAAAAGTGCATTTTCATTTTTTGAACATTTGTTTACAAGATTATATATATATAATAATTTGATACTGCATTATATATATAATAATTTGATATTAAATAAGATAATTTCATTATTTTAATTTTTAAAAGAGAGTTTATGGATTAATAGTATGGTTTTTTTTTTTTTTTTCCATTTTTAGTGTAATAAAAGCAACTTTTATACAAATATAATAATTGAGATGATATATAATAATAATTATAATTAAAGGAAATCAAGCAAGAAATTACTCAGACAAAACCAGAAGTTGACCATTGCCGACAAGCTGGACAGAATTTAATGCAGTTGTGTGGTGAACCAGATAAACCAGAAGTAAAGAAGCATATTGAAGATTTAGATTCAGTATGGGAAAATGTAACTACTCTTTATGCTAAAAGAGAACAAAATCTGATTGATGCAATGGAGAAAGCCATGGTTTTCCATGATACACTTCAGGTAGTATTATTTATATGTATATTTATATTTTGTTGTATATAATTCAAAAGTGGTTAATAATTCATATCTGTTTATAGAATTTATTGGAATTTTTGGATACCGTTGAAGATAAATTTTCTAAACTTGGAGCCGTTGCTTCTGATATCGACTCAGTGAAAGGTCAAATTAACCAGTTGAAGGTAAGATATGAAATACATTTGATTTAAAATGTTATTTGGCTCTTTAATATCAGAAAATTATTGTTACAAAATGTCTAGGCACGGTAAAATAGCTTCCCTGCAAGGCAGATTTAGGGTTGCCATAAAATGGCAGGGGAAGGCAGGGTTGCCACATCTGGCGAGATATCATCCATTTGGCACCAAAATTGGCGACGTGCCGTGGATGGATGGAGATTCTTCTGGAATGAATTCTTACCGGTTTAGCCCCGAATGTTTCAAACACAAGCCAAAAGCTATATAATCCCTGCTGGTATGCAGACAGTTAGTCCATGTGGAGTTAATTAGAGTTCATCGAGTTGATAGTCAGTCAGTGAGTGCCGAGTTGGTCGTCAAGTGCACGGAAAGAGTCTCGTAGTGTATCGCAGTTAGTGCATCATCGAGAGAGTGTGTTGAGCTCCAGGAACGATTAAACCGAGGAGTCAGGAGCTGTACTCTAGTGTATTGTCGAGTGCATCATGAGTAGTAGCGTGGAGAGTCTCGAGAGTTCAGAGAACGACCGAGCAGAATCAGGAGCTGTACTCTGATGCTTTGCTGTGAAGCTGTCTCCACTGTTATAGCCTGCAGGCTGTGTCGCTGATTGTTTCAGCATGTTTATAGTAGTTCTTTGACAACTGTAAAAATGGGATTTTGGAGCTGTCCTGAGAATACTGGCCAATAAAGTGTGTTTCGATACTTTATCTATTAGTGTCGTCGTCATTCTCTCCAAATCTGCACAAACCCTGTAACGTAAAGGAAGAAAATAATGTAAGAATATTAAAAAGTGAGCAGAAAGGGAAAATGCATAATAGTTAGTAATGGAAAACTAGAGGGAGCCACATGCCTTGAGAAGACTTAATTTGGAAAAGAGAATAAATATCATATTCTTTTTGGAAAGTTTAAGATTTAAAATTTTTTTGTATTTTATTTTATATATAAATATATATTTTGATTAATGATTAATAGGATCGTTCGTCAATGGTACTCAAATCAGAAGTGTAACAAGTCATAAAATTCAAGAGAAAAATATCCAAGGCAGAAAGAAATTAATTCTGTGGTTATGATGTGATTTTTACACTGAGCAGACTGATAATAATGCAGAAAAGACCTCTTTTTAGAGAATAAAATGTGATGTGTTTTGTTGTGCATGTTCTCTTTAAGATTGGGTTATTTTAATTATCTTTTTATGCATGAAAATTTTATTACATTAATATTTAGGATTTTGCATTTATTTTGTATTTCATGCTACAGTTTCTTCATATTACATTTTTCAAATTACAGTTTACTCTATTTCCTGAAATCTAAAGGTACACCTTGCACAAAAAAATGGGACTGTTCTACTGGACTAATTGTCAAGATTTAACTTGCATTTTTCATATCTCGAAAGCAGGACTTAGGATATATATTAGATTTATATATAGCACTGTTCTAACATAAGTATTTTTACATAAAATCGGACCTTTTTCTGAAATAACATACCATTTTTTTTTTCCATAATTTGAGTCGTAGACTCGATTATGGAAAAAAAAAGAATCGGTTTTTAAGTAATTTGATATAATTCTTTGAATTACTTTTTTTCTTTAAATAAAAATTTGGTGCTACTTTGATAGATGGTTGCACGGATTTGGCGGATTTTTTTTTTTTTTTTTTTTTTTTTTTTTTGCGAGCAATAGTACTTATGTAAACCCATTGCGGGATAAGTTATTTATGGTAACCGATACTTTGTCAATTTTTTAAAAAAATAAGCATTTTATTATGCATAAATTCTGTGTTTTAAAAATATTATGGCTTCTAAATATTAAAAATCAATTATTTTGCATTTTTATTTGAAATAAAAATTTTATTGTTTATGATATTTTTTATAATTTACTTGCGGATGATGTAAATCAATGACATCACCTTGCTTTAAATGTAATTGGTTTTAATCTATAAAATTTATCTAATGTTTAAATATTATTTATTGCTGTTAAATATTAAAATACAATTTAATTTTGCATTTTTTAAAATGATTTCATTATGTATGATTAATTAAATAATTTTAATTCTAGGCGTGATGTAATCAGCTCCCTGATTCGTTACATAATATTTGTGCATTAACGAGCTGTAATCAACTCCCTGATAGGTTACTGAATATTTGTGCATTACCGCACCATTTTAAAATTTTATTATCCATCTCTTCGAATTCCTTAGATTTCATAGGAAACAGATATGTCCCTTTCCAAGATTAATGTTGTTATTTGTAAGTACTAAGAATTATTGGTATCGGAATTTTAAAAAATGTCCTTTTGAGACCTTATTTTGGCGAACCTGGCTTTCCTAATCATTATTCCTAATTTTCGTAATATTTTAATCCAATTAAACGTTGGCACAGTGTTTTTATAGCAGTGTTTTTATTCTATTTTGGTGCTATATGAAAGTAATAATTTAACCTTACTTTAGTATTTTATACTCGTAGTAAATGTATTTATTTACATTTGCCTGCCATCTTAAAAAATAACGTTTTCAACAAAAAATTAATCTATTATTTTTAACGATTTTTTTTTTTAAAGTTTCGAATACTTTACTATTTCACGCTTTTGAAACAGTGAAACCTCAAGTTAAATTTCAACAATCAGTCCAGTAGAACAGGAGATATAGAACTGTCCTTTTTTTTTTTGCACAAGGTGTACATATTGTTTGCATTTTGTGAATTACATACCTTTTTCTTCCCAGCAAATGTCTATACCCATTAAAGAAGTTAAATTATATAAAAAATTAAACATGCAGGTAAACTTTTATTAAATGCATAAGTTTGTATTCATTGCATTGTTTGTTGTTCTTTTCAGTAAAAAAAACTGAATTAAAATAATTTCATTAATGAAATATTTTTGAATAAATTTTAAATGTTTAATCCGTTTATGATGCGCACCTCCATTACCAAAGCGTTCTGTTGGGACGGTGCGTTAACCGGATACGTCGTTTTGTGGGGACGGGCAATTCACGCTGCTAAGCCTAATTTTGGAAAAAAATTCGTATAAATTAAATTTGTCATCCAATTGTTCCAATTTTTGGTACATTATGAGAACATTCAGTATTTGTCAAATTATTTTAAACCTTTGTTATATTTTCCTTAATAATTTTATAAAATCTCATTCTAGAATAATATAATTTTTCTTTTATCCCACAATTAAATATATATGGAAAAATATCCAAACAATCGCAGATTATATTTAACACAACGCATAATTAAAATTTAAAAATATTAAAACTGTCTTTCATAAAAATTCAATGTGAAAACAATGCAAAGGAAGCAATATTTCAAAAAAGAGACAAGTGTATGATATTCTTTGAAATATGGGTGTACGAAAGTCCAACAATGCAAATGTCACAGGAATAGAATATCAGCAAATTTGACTCATTTAGCATTTGTTTATCTTCTACGGTCAGATAGCGCTTTGGTTTTGCCATTAAAAAAAAAAAAATAGAACACTCATTCCGAAACAAAATACCATAAATAAAAAAACATTGCTTAAGAATGAAGGTACACATACTTAACTTTCGATATATTTCCCTATAACAGACATACAGCTACATCTAGTGTCAACAAAAAATACTAATTAAACATTCTATCTAAAAGTCAAATGTGATACGCCTGGCCATAGAGTGAATTAAATGGTGATTCAAATATGACACACCGAGCTGTGAGGTAATGTTCGCTGCTGATGCACATATGACATGCTTGAACTGAACAGGTTACTGCTTGCTTTAAAAGAGAAGCCAAAATTATGAAATGTAATATCTGAATGGGGGAATAAACTACCTTAGTTAAAACTCTTTATTATGTGCATAAATTAATTTACAGTAATGGTTTTCATTTAAAGTCTTGTTTTGTTAAATGGAATATCGCAGTTACGACATATTGCAAAAACGTTTGTAAGCGTATCAGCAGTTTTCATAATGAAAGAAATGTTTTTATCACATAACAGCCAGATGCATTTGTAAAGCATTTAATTAGAGGAACTATTTTCTGAGGGTTTTTTTTTTTTTTTTTTTTTTTTTTTATGTTTCAATGCTCAGAGTTTGCTAATTTTGTTGTGTACTTTAAAAATGTATTTATATTTGAAAATGTATATCATCCGTTAACTGTTTTTAATTAATTTATAGGATTTTAAATTAGAGGTTGATCCACATATGGTTCAGGTTGAATCTCTAAATCGTCAGGCTCAAGAGCTGATGGAACGAACTTCACCTGATCAGGCTGTAGCCATTCGGGAACCTTTAGCTGACATTAATAAGCGCTGGGACGATTTACTGAAAAGTATTGTTGAAAGACAGGTTAGTGTATAAAAGTATAAAGAATTCATGAAAGATGTTCACTTTACCATATATTATAAGAAATTAGGTTGTTTTTGGGGTATGTTAATTCTCAGCATCTGTCTTCTGCTTATGATTAAAATGTATTTTCTTTTATTAAATCATACAGCAAGAAATGGAGAATACACTCTTAAAACTTGGGCAGTTCCAGCATGCTCTAGAAGAACTGATGATCTGGATTTCAAAAACTGAAAAAACTCTTGATGAGTTGAAGCCTGTCTTTGGTGATCCACAAGTCATTGAAGTAGTTTTAGCTAAACATAAGGTATTTACAGTTTTGAGATGTATAAGAAAGTATAATAGTCTGAAAGTTTTAATTACATTGTAATATATGTTAAAAAATATTCTTTTAATATGTGCATGCTGCAATTTTTTTAAAGTGTGAATAAATTTATACACTGCTCAACATTGAAAATGCAATACTAAGAAGGAGAGGTCAGAAATTGATGCAAATTTTAGAGTAGACACATGTTATGTGAATGATGTGAAATGCACAGCTCTCCGACGCACGTGAAGTAAGATATAAGGAAAGGAACGTGCAGAATGGGCAATATTCATGTCATTATTTCTGCCAGACGAATTATCAAAGAAAGTTGGTTTTTGTCCTGGAGGATACGAGTAATAGGAGAAAATGGCCAGGCCACCGTCAACGAAGGCACTTCCAGCAGATAGACGATTTTACGAGGGGTATGGTGATCGGAAATGTGGGAAGAAGGAGGGGTACAGCTGCAGCCAGAGTGACATCAGCATGCGTGGATCAACACATCCACTGACAAGCTGTGGTGGTCCCACAAGTCACTTGTACCGCGATTCTGCAGCATGTGCAAGATTCCCTGGATGTTACCGTGTTGACCAGAACCATTTCCCGTCGATTGGTTGAATGTGGCCTACACTCACAACGTCCATTAAGACTGTCATTGACTCCACAGCATAAATGCCAACCAATGTTTAGAATGGTGCCGGACTGGAGCGCTGTGGATGACAGAATGGCGAAGCATCGTGTTCTCAGATGAGTCATGCTTCTGTTTATCCAGTGATGTGTGTGGCGTCAACGTGGGGACAGAATTAATCGGGCAGTAACTGTCGAATGCCCCACTGCGCCAGCGACAACGTGGCATAATGGTTTTGGTTCGCTACTCCCTACGATTCCAGGTCACCTCTAGTTTCGTATTCAAAGGCACTATGACGGTCCAACAATACTTGGATAATGTACTGCGGCCGGTGGCAATCCCCTACCTTCAGATGGACTGCCTAATGCAATTTTTCAGCAGGATAATGCCCGACCACACAGCTCTCGCATCTGCCAACATTCTCTACAAGGCATACAGATGCTTCTCTGTCCACCGTACTCTCCTGACCTGTCACCAATCGAACATGTGTGGGATGTGATTGGACGCCGTTTGCAGACTCTGCCCCTGCCTCGTTCAGAAGACAAACTGTGGCAAATGGTTAAAAGGGAATGGAGAGCCATCTCTCAGGACACCATCCGCACTCTTATTGACTCTATGCCTAGACATGTTTCTTTGTGTATCGCTGTCCGCGGTGGTCCTGCTTGTGTATAACTAATTTCCTGTGAATAATTTAACCCGTATCGTGCTTATAACCCACTACTGCGTATAATGTTCCTATGTATCATTAATTTCCCCGTATATAATGTAATGCATACCCAGTGTATAATGATATTATAATGTGTATCCTGTGTCTAATGCGAATCCTATGCAAAATAACCCTTTTATAATGTACCATATAGGGTTTATTAGGAAAGAATTTTAATAAGGTGATGTGACTGACTTAATGTAATAATGATGTGACTTTAATGTAATAAGGTGATTGACTTCTGAATTAGTAATGTGATGTGAAGTTAATGTAATGCTCGCATCTGCCAACATGCTCTGCAAGGCATACAGATGCTTCTTTGTCCACTGTACTCTCCTGACCTGTCACCAATTGAACATGTGTGGGATGTGATTGGACATTGTTTGCAGAGTCTGCCCCAGCATCGTTCAGAAGACAAACTGCAGCAAATAGTTGAAAGGGAATGGAGAACCATCCCGCAGGACACCATCCACACTCTTATTGACTCTATGCTTAGACGTGTTTCTTCGTGCATCGCTCTCCGCAGGAGTCCCACATCCTACTGAGCTGACGCTGTTCTCACTCTGTATTCATACTATCATTTTGGAATAAAGATCACTTATTGCTGCTTGCTGTATCTTTTTTCCAAATTTTATTACGTTCTGACCACTCCTTCTTGGTGTTGCATTTTCAATGTCGAGCAGTGTATTTTAAAGCCTGTATTTTACGTGATTAATGTGAAGGAAATGCATTTAATCGAATGACAAGTAGTATTTCCTAAATTTAAAAAAGCCCTTAAATTAGTAACATTATCATTATTTGACAGCCATTAATTGATCCTTGTTTTTAAGTTATATAAGTTTGTCATATCATATAGTCACAGACAAAAAGGTACTAGCATCTTCATTATGAGATGAATTCTCAAGTTGTATAAAGAAGGGATATAATGGGGGATAGGGAAATAGTTAAACTTTTGTTCAAAATTTGTGTGAAATTGCGAAACTTGAAAGAATTAATTTGAAAAAGAAGGTATTTTAAACTTGTATTCTCAAATTTTGTGAAAAAATGTATGGAAATCTGCTATGTATAATAGCTATATAATGGAAACTGTATAATGGCCCAAGAAACCTTACTTTTGAAACATTATCCATACATTAATAAAAAAAAGTAAAATTTTAACAAAATTTAGTAATGTTAGTTTCAACTTTAAGTTTTAAAATGGTCTTTTGTGACTCCCTAGCTGATCAATTCATGAACAAAAATTTAAGTTGATAAATTAATAGGTAAAAAAGATATATATATTTTTGTCAGCATGCTGTAATTTAGGAAATATAAAAGCGTAAATAGAAATAAAGAAAATGCAATTTTTATAGAAATAAAGAAAATGCAATTTTTTAAAACATGATGTAAAAAGTGAACACTTATGTAACAGTCACTGATTATATATTAAATGTATAGTATATATGCAGTGAAATGAAATAATAATTAAAACGGTTATTTATTTAAACAGTTATATTTAGAAAATTTAATCAAATTATGAGTTCCAAAATTACAAACAACTGCAGCTGGTTTATACCAAACACAAATTCACTGTTTGTTTTTTTTTTTTAAACTTTTCATAGTATATTTTTTTATATATATATATAAACACACATGTTTATGCAGTGCGATGGTAATAACTGATTATGCATGTAATTTGAAGATGACGGTCCATTGAAACACTGTAGAATCAAAAACGTTTTTTAGCAAGATTTTTCCAAATTCGAAACCCATATTTATCAAGAAGCTAAACTGAAGTAGTTTTAGTCGATTTTTTTTCCTTTTCTTCTTTCTCTCTTTTCTTTGAGCTATCAAATCAAATCTCAGTTTTTAAAATAAGATCTAGGTTCTACAAGAAGCACTGCCTTTGGAGTACTGTGAAACTAAGTTCTGGCACCTACATTTTTAGATTTTGTTTACCTGCTTCCCTGATTTTTTAAACTAAAAGTTTACTTGGCTGACACATTTCTTTTTATTGATTAACTTTATATTTTCTTGTTTTTTCAAGACATACGATGAAAAAAGACAGTAGTTTGCCATTTTTATGAATTAATTCCATATCAAGGTCAGACTCTGTCAAACACATTATCATACATTAGTTATATATATGTCTTTAATGAAAATGTCCACATCATTGTATCATATAAGCAAAGGAAAGTTGCTAAATATAGATAGTTTCAGTAATATGATGGTAAGGAACTTTCCTTTTATTTTTGAGGCCCATCAGCGGCCGAGCGGTAAAATCGCTGAACACTCATAGTTTGGTCCGAGGTTCGAATCCCGCGAATGGGCTGGCTGCATGGGCGTTTTCGTGGTTTTCCCTATGTGTAATGTGTATACAAGCCAGTTTCCCTTAGAAAGTCCTCCATGAAGGCATCCCTCCCCTTAGGCAGATAGCCCTAGTGTACTTTGCCATAATTAAATAAACCTTTTATTTTTGAGTTCATACTATAAAAGTTATATTTAAATTTGTAGAACCATATTTAGGATGCTGAATTGTAGTTAGTTGAGCAGATTTAAAATATGTTCAACATTTCTTATTATAATTATGCACATTCATTCAGTGTCTGTCTGTTCTCCATTAAGTTTTCCAAATATGATGACATGGTTGCCTTTAAATTTTAAATTTGACCTTTTTTTTCAGCTTTTTTTTATATTATTAATAATGTTGCAAACTTTTCCCTTAGCTAAATCTATCTTGAACACATTGCAAACTATATTTTATTTTTCGTGATTTTATACTGTACCAACGTTTTAATCCCATGATTTATAATTTAGGCTGTGATTTCTTTCAGGGTTATCATTTGATGAAAAATCTATAAATTCACTCTCAAACGTTTTACCTGCGGTTCTTAAACTTTATGTATTTAATAGCTGCACATCATGTGCTGTATCCCTTTCACATGATGTGCAGCTTTCCATATCTTAAACTATTAACATGTATCATATATTTTTCTTACACTGTATATAATGAAATTAAGTAATAAATCAAATTTTACTTCGAAAATCATTTACAGATCCATAACTATTAACTCCTGAATCCCCAGCTGTTTGCAAACTCCAGTTTGAGACCATTGCGTCATTAGTTCATTTTCAGAGTTAATCTCTTCATTTCATGAAGCCATATTAAGAATTTCTCCCATTTGCCAAAAATCATTATACAGTTTGAATTTCCTAACTGCGTACCCTTATAAAACATCTAAACCATACTATGTGTATTCATACCTCCAAAAATAAAATTAATAAATACTGATCAAAAAATATAATTGCATATAATTTAAAAAAGTGACAGCAGATTTATTTTTATTATTTTTTTTTTTTAAGTGGAGAGTATAATTATTGAGCAAGCATTTTATGTAAGCATATGTCATCAGCACCCATGAGAGTTTTGAACATTTATATTCATTTTAATTATTGTTTTTGTTATTATTATGTCTTATTTGTATGCATATTCAAAAACTTGTTTCTGAATATGTAGAATCACTTTTACTTTTTCAATCACTTTAAAATCTAGGTCACTGCTCAGGGTCTTCCCTTTCTCCTCTTCGTTCTGCCTGTTTTGAAAAACAAATTTTAGCTTAGTATAACTTCATTGCCATATTTTTCAAGAAAAGGTGATTTTTTTTGTTTGGTAGAGAGCAGAATTTGATTTTTAAATTGCTGAAATATTATGCACAGTGATATAAAATATATATTTATTTCTGTGCTTATCGCCCACCAGCGGCCGAGCGGTAAAGTTACTGAACACTAGTGTGTTCGGTCCGAGGTTCGAATCCCGAGAACGGGCTGGCTGCATGTGCGTTTTCGTGGTTTTCCCCATGTGTAACGGGTATACGAGCCAGTTTCCCTTAGAATGTCCTCCAACGAAGGCATCCCTCCCCTTAGGCAGATAGCCCTAGTGTGCTTTTCTATAATTAAATACACCAACACTTCTGTGCTTACCATTCTGCTAAAATGATCAGAAAAACTTTAAAAAAAAAATTTGGATTATTTTCAAGTGCATATGTGTGTAGATTGGTTTTGTATTTTGAATAATACCTCTGTTATATTTATGGAATCAAATCGAAATATACCGAAATCATTTAAAATTTTGTAAAGTTACTCATGTTTAATAATAGCCATTTTTTTCGGCGGGCTATAACATTGCTAAAGGTATTATCACTTCTTTTAAACATTGCAAGTTATTTTGCTTTGAGCATGAACTTAAGTATGTATTAAAGCATTGTGTTCCCTCTTTCTTTGTCTTTTCATTATCATTATTAATGAAAAGATTGATTTGATTCAACATGATTTTTTTTTTTTTAATTTGGAACTAATTTCACTTAATATGGCGAATTTCAATTAAATATATATATATGCAAAGTTGTGTAAATATTTATATGCGTAGTAGTTATAGCCATCTAAGTTTTAATTTTGGAAATCGTAAAAGAGCTAATTTAATCTATATTATAATTTTCCCAATTCAAAATAAAGTAATTAAAAATAAATTAAAAAGGCCTAAGATTATTTGCTATTTTGTTTAACAGTTTAGATTGAGTATTAATTGTGACTTCAGGTTTGGAACTAGCAAATAATTTGATGCTTACTTGGAAGTAAGATGAAACACTCTCTATTAATTTAGTTGTTATTAATTGATGGTAGATTGGTTTGTCCCCTTGTTAAGTCAATTAATCTGCAATCAATGACAATAGTGTTTCAATACTTAAAATTTACTTTTGGTATTTTTGCGATTAAAGATTTTTCTTAGCAGATTTTTATGTTTTTAAACAAGGCAATTGAAATTACTATTTAAATACTAATTTGAATTCTGACTAAAAATTTTTAATTTATGGTTTTAAATTGAAATTGTGTTCCTTGGCGATGGTATATGGAAAATTTTCATATATATATATATAATCATAAGAATGAAAAGGGGAACTCTCTTGTTAAAATTCCAATATTTCAGAGTAAAATAAAGAAAGCCAATAAAGAAAACTAAAAATTACAGTTTGAAGTCTACATAAATTCCTATTTACAAAGTCATAATATTTAAAAGTAGATAGTAAAATTAAATTAAAAGTAAATACACTGGTTATCATAAATTAAGGAAAAATCACAAAAATCACGATTACTGAAAAAGTTGCATGTAGAATTTAATGAAACTTATCTACAATATACAACACATAGTAAGGTATCAAATAACATAAAAAGAAATTACCAGACAAATATGGTAGTATAGAAATTAGCAAATGTATAAAATGAACAAATTGAAGGTGTCAGTTTGCTATAGGAAAAGTACCTTCAGTATGGAATATGATCGCCTCTAAAAGCAATACAGCACATACAGCGATGTGTGATGCTTTCAATTATGCGGTCTATCAGTTCCATAGAAAGCGAGAGCCATTGCTCTTGCAAAGCAGTTTCAAGTGCGACAAGGGTCTGAGGGCGCGGATTGTGAGCAGCTAGACGTCTTCCTAAAGCATCCCAAATGTGCTCGATAGGATTCAAGTCCAGGGATCGAGCTGGCCACTCTATGTGCATAATTGTTTCCTCTTGAAGATAATCATCTACGATGCGAGCCCTGTGTGGTCTTGCGTTGTCGTCCTGTAACAGGAAAGCATCACCTATTGCCCTGGCAAATGGGCTCATGTAAACATCAAGGATGTCATTTCTACAAATCTGAGCATTCACGGTTTCCCTTGGAAAGAAATGGAGGTCTGTGCGTCCACCCAAAAAGATGCCACAACAAGCACAGACACTGCCTCTTCCGTATGCATCTCTTTCACGGATGTTTGACGGATGATAACGGGTTCCATTTCTCTCCATATCAATACGCCTACTGTCCTTTCTAGCTAAACCTGAACTCATCCGTAAAGAAACCCCCCTCCATTGATCAGGTGTCCAGTGGATATGTTGTTGTGCCCACTGCAAACGGTCCGTCCTATGGCGTGACGTGAAAGGCACGCAAATGGCTGGTCGCCTAGCATACAGACCACCTTCGTGAAGCCTTCTATGCACAGTTGACGTTGACACCAACCTTCCGATGCCTGCAACAAGGGAGGATCTAAGAATAATCGGAGTAGCAGTTCTATTCCTGCGTGTGCATAATGTCAAATATCGGTCATCGACGCTCGTCGTAGCAGTTGGCTGTCCTTGGCTGAACCTCCTAGATACCGAATCTGCAGTTTGAAATTGCCTCCAAAGTCTATGAACCACAAAAGGACTCACATTTAGCCATCTGGCTACCTCTTTTTGACTTTGTCCTGCCTCTAGTCTCCCAATGGCTCTCAATCATAGTTCTGCAGGCAAATGATGCCTGGAGGTCATTGTAACGAATTGGCTATCTCAGATTTCTGATGTCACTATCACAGTGAAATATGTGGGCTTGCTTCTCAAACATGGACTTTTATGCTCTTCGCAAATGATGTATTCCGAGTGCAGTGCCACTAATTTGCATATTGCGGTTTTACTCAGCTACTCTTACTTGGCAACATATTCAAATTTTACATGGTTTGGTTTTTTTTGAGGGAGTTATCGCTATTTTTGTGATTTTTCCTTATAATTTACGATAACCAGTGTATATCCTGAGCTCTTTGTCTATTTTTTGCTTTAATTTTTTCAGGTAATAACAAATGATATTCAGGCTCATCAGACAAGCATAGATACAATTAACAGAGCTGGCCATGAGTTTGTTGATTCTGATCGTGGAAGTGAAGATGCTAAGTTCACACACAATAAATTGCAAAATTTGAATGTGCGTTGGCAGCATTTACAAAGCAAATCTGCTGATCTTTATAAAGAACTAGAGGATGCACTTAAAGAGGTAATTTTATACAAGTATTAATTGCTTTTTATTGTATTATTGTTAATTTCATTTTAATTCAAATTACTAAATTACTGATGAAAATCAGTTTATTTAATTATTTATTTTTTATTTGTGTTTGAAACCGTAGAAGCCTTCTCTTTCATTTTGAATGAAGTTTACTTAATTTTATATAGTATATGAATTTCCTCCAAAAATTTTTAATCAGTATGATTTGTGTTGTTTGAACCATACTTAGTAAATACACATAAGACTATGCATTATTTTTAATGCTCCTCTTGAATACAGAGAAATTAAAGGATAGGTCTTAAAGCTGAAGCATCAAGAAAAATAGTACAGTCTTAATTTCTTGGACATTCAGAATGGTTTAAAAAATTTATATTTTAAATGTTTTTGATGAAATTTCTTTTTAAGTAAACATTTAAAGCTTTTCACATCACTATCCATTTCCTTTAAGACTGTGGAAAGAATTGCAATAATAGCTTAGATAAGTGACTAGGCAATTCATACAAAATAGTTTCATTAGTGAAGATATTTATTTACCTATATAAATGCTGCTGTTTTAAGGAGGGTAAAAAAGATTTTTTAGAACTTGTTTCATTATGGTTAAAGTAAATACTGAGCTGTATATTTACAATATTCATAAGTCTGTTACATCAAACAAATGAAAAAATTTCTCAATGTAATTATTCAAGTGTTGGAAATTTAGACTTTGTTTATATTGTAACAGATATGTTGGTAAATCTGTTTTATCATATGTAAATGTACTGTGATTTCATTTAACTATAAAAATTAAATTTAATATAATTATTTGTAAGAACCTGGGGAAAAAATTGAGTTTCTCTGTTGAGGTTCAAAATTTTGAAATATGTTAAGGGTGTCGTAAAATTTAATCCAGCTAGTGAACTATTTACAGACCCTATTTTGACCAAAGTGAAAATAACTGAATCCTTAAATATAGCAGTTCTGGGATTCACATTTTTAGCCCAAAGTGTGTTAGCCCAGAAAGGCTATTAATTTCGTTTTGGCATTTTGTGGCAATTCACTTCCTGCACTGATTCACTTTTCAGTCTGTTGCCACCAACTATTAGAGTCCTGTATTATATTTAAAGAAATATACGCTATATGATGTATAATCTATATAAATGTATGTATGTTTCTCTCGTTGTGATAAAACAACAGTACATAGAACCATCAAATTTTGAATAACATAACCCTCCAGCAAATATGGGCATTTCGAAGCCCTAATTTGGAATTTGTTTTATTATCTATTTCATATTTTTTCAGACATTAAAGAAGTTTTGATTAACAAACTCAACAATTTCAAAGCGAGGAATGGCAACACTGTACCCCCCCCCAAAAAAATTATCTCTAGCGCACGAAACTGTGTATTGGAAATTCTAAAGATCTGCTCATTTAAAATTATTTTGCAGTATTGCTGTTGAACTAAATTTTATGATGCGAAGTGGGTTTAAGTGCGAAGAACATGATATTTAATAAATAAAGATAACACACAAAATGTTAAAAAAACACCCATTCGGGCATAATGTAAAATCTGAAAGCTTTCAGATTTTTTTTTTAAAATTAAGTTTATGTTTCTTAAGCAGCATTTGAGAAGTACAGGAAAGGGAAGTCTAGTGAGTGACTGGTAGTTTTCATTTTCTGTATATACAACATGTATAATTACTTCAAGTTAATTAAGTTCTGGTCTCACAACTACAAGATTGTGTCAGCTTCATTCTGTTCAAGGAACTTCATGAAGGAAGCTAAAGAGCAGTTCACATAGAAAAAATAGTTCATAATTAGTTTTTTCACCCTTTTCACCAGAGGAATGACTTTAATCAAAACTTCAGATCAGTTGGAGTGAAGGTCAGTGCATTCCTTTCATGTCTATAGGTTTTCAACTTTACTTTACAAAGGTATTCCAGTGTATATTCTGATAAAGAGATTAGGAATGATGTACTATTATCCATCTAATATACTGGTGTGTGCACAAGGGTTCATAGTAGATTAAATGCACACAGAACTGATGATAACTTGAGAACATTTATTTTTACCAAAGAAACACTTTGCAGTTCTGGAACTTTTCACAAAAATACTCATATAGCTCTTCTCAGTATCACAGAGTAAAATCAGTAGTTACACTTCAAACTACTAAGAACGTTAACACAGCACAAAGCAAAGCTCTTACGGAGATCTTTCAATACTCCTAACTCGCGCTGAACTGAGAAACTTATGCTCTCCTCAGTCTTATATAGTTTCCCCCCAGCTGCTAAGAAATCTCTAGTACTTCCCACTTCTTAAAATCACTGGCAGACATAGGAAGGCCAGATACGGTAACAGTTACATATAGGAGCAGTTATTTATTCGATTACTGTACTTATTACAGTTCTACAGGGACTGGACCAATAAGTAGCCAAACGGTGGATAAGTTTTTTTGGCGTTTCTTGCCAAATTTGGCAATAAAAATTAGTCACCAAAACTATCACCAGGTTGGCAATATCTCGCCAATTTAGCAGCATAGCCATTTACTCAACGTTAATTAGATTTGCCACTATATTCTTATTTTTTTGGCAGAGCATCTTCTTTGTCAAGCATTTCATGTAACATTATACAAAAAATACTAAAATGTCACATATAATTTCACTAAAATTATTTATATATATATAAAATTCTTAATAGTATGTAAAAAAAGTAGTTATTATTGAGATAAAATCATGATTTGGTATCTTATAAGTTGGGTATATAGACTTGTATACTTTCTAAAGGAAATATGAATCCTTGCCAAATATAGTAACAGCTCAACTATCTAGAGAGCTCATGAAATGCAAGATGTAAAAATTCCAGACAGTTGAGCACATAAAAAAAGGCCAAATGACTGAAAAAGAAATTTCCGGTCTGAAATTACTAAAAGAGTCACAGCATTTATAATCAAAGCCTTCATCTAAAATTATGCAGGATTTCAGGGAAAAGTGCATTTCAGACATAAAAGCTGATGTATTTATTTGAAAGGCGAAATATCATATCTGATTATGAAATTTTATTGATCATGTAAAACTAGCAGAGATCCGGCCCAGAAGGTTAAAGGAACAGATTGCTGTTTAGCTAGTTAAATTATCAGTATATACAAATTATGGCTATAACATGTAAAAAAAAAAAAAAAAAAAAAAAAAAAAAAAAACTTAAGTCGCTTATCATGCCCATTAATGCAATTTTTCTTAATGCCAAGATCTCAGATCTTTGAAAATTCTGCATTAAGTACTGTTTTGTGCAATGTTGATCTTAAATTTTAAACATTTCCCCCCAAAAAATTGAAGGAAAGATGAATAATAGTTAATTTATATCCTTCCTTATGTATCATTCTCACATTGGGCTGGTTTCATTACCATCTTACGGCTAAACACTCTTTGGCTAGGTAGGTCAGAATTTACCCTTTAAATCAAATTAAATCCCTCTACATAAAAACTAATCCAGCTTATTAAGAATTAATAATCATTCTTACATATTTGATACTTCTGGTTTTACTTTTCAAATGCTGGGTGGATTTTGGAACCTTGCAGAAGTATCGAGAATATCTGTAATTTATGCTATAACCTTCTTCCTTTAATTTCAAACTAATTATGCATTTATTAAATTATTATGATTTTCCTATTTGTGCATTAAATAATCTAAATCTGAATGTTATATATTTACATGATTCCTTTTTTAATAGGATAATCTGTACATTCATTTTGTGTTTAAAAATTCATTTTATGTATAAAAATATACTGTAATAAACTGTGCACTTTACTACATATATTTGTGTCTCTGTATAAACATATGCACTTTAGGCTCAACAATTTCATCAAGATATTCAAGACCTTATTATGTGGTTGAATGATATTGATGGGCATTTGGCTACCTCAAAACCTGTTGGTGGTTTACCAGAGACAGCCAAAGATCAACTAAATCGATTTATGGTATGTATTATTTTTAATGCTTATAAATTTTACTAAGAAATTTAATATGCACAAAGAATTCTTTTTCCAGTAAATTAATGATGATGTTAATTTAGACTGAAAAAGTTTAGAAATTTATTGTGTAAGTTTTAGCTTCTCAGTAGACATTGACTTTTAGAAGGTAATGATTTTCTGATAATGTTTGATGGTAGAGTAATGTTAGGAATGGTACTGCATACCTCTTGCATGGCTATGCCCCTTTAAGCAACAGGCCATTCCTGAGTCATTGTTGAGTGTCATGGCAGATGAATATGTGGTTAAAATGTGTGTCATATTCTGAAATTTATTTATTATATGAAACTTTGTGTAAAAACTGTTTAATTAGTAAGATTTCTCTCTCAAAACATTATGAGAAAAGATGTTGCTGAATATATAACAGTTTTTGAAATGTCTGAATTATATAAGAGAAATATGTATCATTTACATCTTAAAAGAAATGAATTTTTTCCCTATAATACTAAAAATAAAAGTCTCAAATTATCATTTGTCTTTCGTGTTTGAAATGACTTTTAATCAAAAACTCCAATAAATGTTTTTGTGGCAGTCTTACTTCCCATTTGTACGTTTGAAAGATGACATGGCTGAAATTACTAAAAATTAAAATCCAGTGGAACTGTTAAAATTATGCTCTATAGGCGTAATGAAATTTTAATTTTACATAATTGTTCAAAATCCGCTTTAACATACTATTTAAGGGGGAAACTTTCAGCAAATTAGAATATAACTGGTTTATTTTAAAAATAATGTTATTTAGTAGACTGTTAGTACTGCAAAGTCCAACTACATAGTACTATAATAAAATTCAGTTCTTTTCCAAAATTAATGCATAATAAACAGACACTCAAAGACTGTTTTTAGGATATTTAGTTTTAAAATTTGGAAAAAAAAGATTATTTAATCATTTACCGTTTTTATTACTGTTTATTGAAAATTAGTAAGTGAAATATTTCAAGTATTAATATAGATGAATTTAATCATTAAAAATGTCAAATTATTTAGTATGCAACCCATAATTCAAAACATAAATTCCATTTGTCTTTTTTTTCCCATTTGTCTAAAACTAAATTTCCAGCCTCACTAAGGGAATGTGTTCATCAGTTTCAAAAATTTAAGTAATTCTTAGTGCAAAGAGTTTTCAAATTGAAGGGAAATTGTTTGTTATGCATAGTGTCTGCAAAAACTGTGGGACAAAAGTTACATGATAATTAGTTGTCTTCAATGCTGTATTATGTTATTCTATATTATGTTACATAATTTAGCACATTAATAGAAATTTCCAGATAATTTCAGGGACCCGGTCAGCAAAATTCTCCCCTGGTTTAAAATCGACATGCCATGTGAATTTTTCTATTTCCTCTATTGTTTAAACCAGTTCGTTTCAGCTCCAGACTGTCTTTCTAGCAGCTTTGACATAAACCATGGTGGCATATTTTATATGCTGGAATTTAAATTCTACGATATATTAGCGAGTATCTTTACTTGCAGTTACCAAAAAAATCTTCATTGTCCGCTCGTGCAAAATCTATACTGACACAGTTGAATTAACTGTTTTTCTCTTTTTTATTGAAAATTTGGCAGCTATTCATTGGTTTCATCAACACCTCAGTCATTATGCTGTTGTATCGAAACTATTTCATAACTGAGTGCCCAAGGTATGCCCCCAGGAATTTGTCCTTGAACATAGTTGCTGAGTCTAATGAATGACAAAGGCATTCAATCACTTAAAAGGTCAAGGTTCAGAAATTGAGATGGGGAACATGTGTTGTCTTAGAACAATGATTTGTACATTATTTGAGAGCTTTTACATCCTGTTTGTATTCTCGGAGCTCAACGGACAGTGAAATTTCACAAATGCTACTCTAATTCATTCTGAACATCTTACTTCAAAATTATTTGACTGTGAAATCGAGACACTGACATGGAGGTACCTTTTAAAATAACAATGCATCAGTACATCTGGAATCTAATGGCTAGAGATGGCCTTTCAAACTGATTGACTAGTTTTAGTGTATTTACGATATCCAGGTTTCAGACTGAAAGTGTAAAACTACTGTTGTTTCTTTGACACAAAATTTATATTCATGTTCTTGTGGTTTGTCTGAATAACAGTACCATTACAGTAAACTTCCATGTGTGAAGGTCACATCAGCATAAACAGGAAATAAAGACAGACAGAACTGTTAAGAATGAACTGATAAGAATGTAAGAAAAAGTGCTTGTACGTGTATACAAGTACATTGGAATTTATATTTATTTATAGAAATTTATACCTACATAGTATCTATGTAGTATGTATGTATGCACTGATATAATATGGTATAAGTGCAGATATGCGCAGAAAGCATGTGTACCCTTAAATGGAAATAACCTATATACAGACACGTACATGTACACACACAGGCAGACAAATGCATTTATATATATGTGTTTGCATGTGAATTTTTGCAAATGTTTATAAATATACAGATATATGTATGTGTATATATTTCATTATCAAGCTCTAGAAGAAGTTTTCATATTTCTTCTTCAGTCAGACCTCTTTTCCTTTTCGGCATATTCCTAGAAAAAATGTCAAAATAATTACTAAAAGACTTACGAAAATATGCAATATTCTAAAGCAACGCAAGGCTCTGTTTACAATTTACAAATGCAGTTATCGCGAATTATGTAGCTACAAGAACTAAATAACTGAGTATATACAGAAGGGAAAAATTGGGAAAAACCGGATTCTTAACACAAAGATCTTTGAAAGAGATAAGTGGTTAAAACCCCAGGGACATCCAATTTGACATTTCAGCCTGGAAAATGAGGGAAAAAGACATGGCCACTGCAGTGGATAACCCCATCCTTTCAAACAGAAGACTCTATGGCCACTGTAATGGCCATCCTGTCTTCAAAAAGGTTAAAAGCTGTAGTTGGATTATTATACTATACTGGTACCTAACATTAGCTTATTTAAATTCTCTAAGATGTCTAGATGCTGGAACTGCCATGAGTGCTGTGTGGTAAAAATTGAAGCATTTCTTTATGGTATGTTCCCTGAAAAAAGAGTTTCTCTAAACTAGGCAAATATAGCAAGCTTGATTTTAAATATTATTCTTGCGAAAATATATTTAACAGTTTTAAGCTTTAAGAAAATTAAGTATTTTAATATCAGTGGGTATTTTTGGTATAATAAAAATATTTCAATGCAGCTAAATGAAGAATTCTAGAAAATTTGTCTTCAACATACATTTAAATAATATTTATGATAAAAGGTTAAAAATGAAAAGTAAATGCATGTGCTGATAGGTTGAAAACTTCAGTTCTATTGAACATCACATATTTTATTAGCCTTGTCAATATTTATTTCTGTATTAATGATAATATTAATAATTTTAGTTTTAGTCATTCATTATTAACTTCTTAAATGTTTAATTGTGGTTAAAAAAAGGCTGTCTCTCTACTCAGAAATTTATGATTGCACATAATTCCATGTTAACTTACCAATGAATTTTAATAATTTTTTAGCTTAATTAACCTTAACAAGTCGCTTAGAACTTGTATTCATTTAATTTCAAGCTGTTTGTTGTATAGTTTTTCTTTGACTTAATTACCTGTATAATTTTCTTTCTTAGGATTTGTACAATGAGCTGGATACAAATCGCTATAAAATAGAAAATATCTTACAACAAGGTCAAAACTATATGAAAAGATCAGGAGAGAGTAGCACAAAAACTTTGCAACATAATTTGCGTACCTTAAAGCAGAAATGGGACAGTGTATTAAATAAAGCTAATGACAGAAAAGTAGGTGTTTGCATGAATATAATAATATAAAGTGTAATTTTCCTTTATTTTAGATACATATAATATATGTATTTAAAATTCCCTTTTAGATAAAATTAGAGATAGCCCTTCGGGATGCTACTGAATTCCATGAAGCTTTACAAAAATTTGTGGAATGGTTAACGAATGCAGAGAAATATATAACTTCTTTAAAACCTGTTAGCAGGCACATGAAAGCAGTATTAGAGCAAATTGAAGAACACAGAGTAAGTTATTCTTCGTATAATTGCTTCTTTCATCTATTATATGCAAATTGTATTTGATTCTGTGATATATTGCATCTTTTTTCTTCTTTAGAGTAAGTTATTCTTTATACAATTACTTCTTTTGTCTTTATATATGAATAATACTTAATTAGTCGACATGTTGCTTATTTTATTTTTTGTGGTAAATTACTACTTATGCTTGTCCAAATTTTATCTTCAATTAGAATTTTGACATATCATTTAAATGAGTAATTTTAAATTGCATATAAATTTATCATTTACGTCTTATGAGGTGAAAATATAAAGCATTGGAAATGAAATTATCCATATGCTTGAAAGCTGTTTTTCATAGGACCATTTTTGTTGCATATTCAGTTGCTGTTTTCAAATTAGATGGATGTCATAAGTTTTACCATATTTATGCTTCTATAAAACATAATTAGTTCTTACAATTATTAAATAGGTCTTAAATTTTCACATAAATTATAGAGTTTCCGAGATGAATAGTTTAAATTTGAATCTCTACTTTTTGGAAAGCTATAATATATTTTATATAGTATTAAAAATAAATAATTGATCCTATATTCCAGATGTTATATCAAAAATTGTTTACTTTTTCTCTTAAAATATACTTTTGTGTCCACTGAAATTTATGTTTCTAATAATTGTCAAATTTTGTCCTAGTAGTTAGTGATATCATTTTAAGACAGAATGAAACTAGTAATCAAAGGTATTCAGAATTAGTAATCAAAACGCTATCTAAAAATACAATTTTTCCCTGTAAATAAATAGTATTTGTACTTCCAACCCCTCCAAAGTGCATTTGTTGACATGATCAATAATTGGTATAATACACTAAGTTAAACAGTATGAGTCATGTTTTTATGTTTATTTTTGAAATAGAGAAAAATGTATTTAAATGAGCGTAAGTATTTTGTGAAAGAATATGAGTTTAATGTAAGCTATATAATTTCACGTTTTAATTGAGTATCTAGTTTAATACAAAACTTATAAAATTCATGAATTGCCTCATATTTTTGTACAGAACTTCCAAAAGGATGTTGGAGCACATAGAGAGGTGATGCTTAATTTAGACAAGAAAGGAACCCATCTTAAATACTTCAGTCAAAAGCAGGATGTGATACTTATAAAAAACCTCCTTATCAGTGTGCAGCATAGGTGGGAGAGAGTTGTTTCTAGAGCTGCTGAAAGAACAAGGGCCCTAGATCATGGATACAAGGAATCCAAAGAAGTGAGATTACTGTTTGGTCCTTCATTAAATACTTGCAATCTTCAACTCAGTAGTACTTCTATAATTTTTGTTCTTTGATTTCCATTCTGTGATTTTTGAACTCCAAAAAGACTAAATAAATTAATAAAATAAATAAGAAAGCATCTTAAGGAATTCAAATTTTTCAACCTGTTTATTGCAGTAAAAGTAACATAACTACAGCAAAATTAAATGTTTATGAATCGAGTTAACGCAAACATCTAAAATTTTGCCCCTAAAATAAAAGTATTAGTAAAATATAAGGTATTCAAAGTATTTTTCTTTATGAGGCTTTAGATAGGATTATTCGTATAGATATTAGTAGGTTTAACCCTCTGAGTGGTACGGGTTTTTGGATTTCTCATGAAGACCTGTATTTATGCAGCATTTATTAGCTTAATTTATATAATTACTTATTTTAGTGTCTATTTTCATAAATTTACATTAATTAATATTATATTTACATTATTAAAGAAAGTAAGAAAGCAAAATATCTGAAGTTATGAGCTAATTTGTATCAAGCGACAAAAAATCTCATGACCGGATAAAGCTAGTCATGACGCTCAGAGGGTTAAGGTTTGGGGTACTCTCCAGGACCAGCACTGATTTCTACTACATATGTGGCTCTTTGTTATGTAAAAAAGCATGTAGATAGATATGCAGTAAAACCTTCTCAAAATTGCCATTAATTATTTTAAGCAATTTTAGTCTTCTATTGAAACGCTTCCCTTAGAGAAATGTGTTTAATACCGATTTTTAAGAAATATTCCTCACTTTCAAAGGGCAGTCGCTAATCTTGGTTATAGAACAAACACACCCAAAAAAGATTATCTAACATTTTATTGAATATCATTTGAATTATGAATTCATGTGATTTACAAATCATATAAATTCAATATTTTAAAAATATTTTCTTTGGTTCTGTCTGAGTTTCATTCATTTACTTTTATTATTATTTATATCATTATTAAATTATTTTTCTTGAGAATGCATTACATTTACCACGCTTTCTTGAGAATGCAATTACATTTACCACAGGGCCAGCATTATACTATAAAGATTAATTAAAAGGTATGATTTGTGTTATATCATGTATTAAGAAAGACATTATTTGTCAGTTAAGAATTTATAGTCCTCAATTTATGGAGTTTTTAACAGTTTAAAACCAGATCATTCTAACATCATTTTTAAACTTTAGTAACTTAAAGTGATATTTCTGAGATCTAAGTAAGTAAAAACTGCTTACAAATTGAAGTCTTGTTAAAAACAAAACATGAATTATTAAGCATATAACATCTTATAAAAATGTTTATTTACATGTGTCTGATTACTTCTTCAAAGCTGCTTTGTGAACAGTGCAAGTTGTATGATAGTCATCAGAGATTAATAAGTAAATGTTATCTTCAAATAGGTCACTTTTTGGTGTTTTCTGATTATCCACACTCTCCTCCTCAAAAGTTGCCTTTTTGTGAAGTTGATATGTGAAAGGCAACAACCATTTCATAATTGAAGTGCACTGAAAATTCATTAAAAGAGAAATATGTCAATAAAATTAAAAAAGTAAGAAACATCCATAGTGAAATTTTTATGTAATTTCTGTTGTAGATCTCCCCATTTATACAGCAATCTATTTTCCTTTTAAAAAAATCAGAGAATATCATAAATTTGGATTCCTGTATTCTCTAATACTTTGCTTGCAATTTTTCATGTATTTCCATAAAATTCATGGAATGCAGATATGTGCATTCTATACTGTTGAGCAAAATGCCATATTTCTAAAGAAATACTGTGCTGTTTTTTTCATCAGCCAGCAAAGTCCACAGTTCCATTACAATCTGTTACAAGAAAAATAGGATATTCAGTGCAAAAACAAACACTTATTAGAAAAACGAATGGTTAATTTACAGGGATGTGTGTGACCTGGGTTGCCAAACAGGTACACTTATGCGCAAAATTAAGAGACTGCACATTATGTCGAACTGCTGAAAAACTAATGGACATATTTTAATCAAAATAGTGTGAATATGCATTTGTAACAGAGAAAGAAATGTACTATTCAAAAATCATTTTATGTACGCATGATTATCAAAATTCACACTCTAATATAAAATTGAAATTGAGCTTAATATGGGGTATGATCCCTTCTTACATCCAGACAGGTTGTGCAGTGTGATGGCATTCTAGACAAGATGCAGTTGAGGAGTCCCTGTGACAATTAATCCCACTCTTGCAACAAATTATTTTTCATCTCCTAGGTTTTCTTGGGGGAAGGGGTAGCGAGAAGAAATTGCCTTTTCAAGAGTGTCCCAGACATGCTGTATAGGGATAAGGTGAGGAGATCTGGATTCCAGTCTACACGAATATTCTCACTTTCCAGGCAGTAGTCAACCAGCTGAGCCCTTTCTGGATGAGCATTGTCATCCATTAACAGGGACCTTTTAACAACTGCACCCTCAAAAGTTTAACATGGGCTTTTAATATCTTGTTATACCTCATAGCAGGCAGGGAGCCTTTTGTCAAACACATACAGGGGAGCACATCCATTCAGTATAAGGCCTGCCCAACCATTACACCTCCACCACTGTAATGATCCTTTTCCCTGATGAGGGAGGGATTGTATTGTGTTCTGGGCTCGCTCTAGATACAGGTATGCTGAGAATCAGTGTCTATGCTGAATCTCAATTTTATAAAAAGCATGGTGCTTCACTGAAGTGTGGTCCAAGGCACATGTTGTCTGCACTATGCTAAATGTTCTGTCTTGTGTGCTGTCATGAGTGGAATGCAAACAGTGAGTCTTCTGGCATGCAACCCTATTCCATGAAGACTTCAGAAAATTGTAGACTTTTAACTCGGGTTTCAGTGGCGTCATACAGCTCACATGAGAGCTGTGAATCTGTAGCAGTCATGTGTCACCATGCTGAAAGGGCCAAATAATGATCCTCATTCATCATTGGGGATCTTGTGCAACTTTGTACAGTACTTCTCAATATGGGTTCAGTGTCCTGAACTGTTTCCACAGATTTCAGACAACACTGTGCATTGCATTCATCTCTGTAGCCACCTGCACTTGTGATAGGCTTGCTTCATCCATGCATTTGTGATTGCTCATTTTGCCTGATACCATATAGAATTTATCAAACTCTTGCAAGAAAATTGTTAAATGTCACGAAGGAGTACAAGGAGCACTTAAACTGGTGTAGTTCTTCAGTGGCATAATTAGTACCTTTGGTTCAGTACTTTTTCTAAAAATAGGCATAATTTGCAAATTCTCTGAATTTCGTACATGAGTGTAGATTTTGGTGGCATAGTCATTCTTGAATTCTTGAGGGGAGCTTCTTGAATTGAGGGGAGCTGATGGGTAATCAGAAAGAATCCATTTTTCTTTTATCAGATACTTAGATTATGTACTTAGTGAAATATGTAAGAAATTATTTAAACAGAGTTCAAAATGTCAAACTAAATATTTTGTTGATGAGTTTGTGCATATTCTGCAGTGTATAAATTATATTTATGATCTTATTATTATGATTTAGTTTCATGATGCTTGGACTTCTTTGTCTGCCTGGTTAGATGAAGCAGAAAAACTGTTAGATACAAACACTGTGATTGGAAATGATCCCTTAAAGATTAAAAAACTTTTGACTAAGCATAAAGAATTTCAAAGAACGCTTGGCTCAAAACAAGTAACATATGATGCTACTATGAAAAGTGGACGTATTCTTAAGGACAAATGCCCAAAGCAAGATGTGCCACTGCTTCAAGATATGATGGATGAATTAAAAGTTCGATGGAACAAAGTTTGCGCTAAATCAGTGAATAGGTAAGCATGTGTTTAGTGACATATTTTGTGTAACTTTGTACACTCATGGTGGTGATTTGAAGAAATGCATGCTTCTAAGATAATTTTATGAATTTACAAACTGTATACAAAATTGAAATGCATATGTTATTTATGTAAAGGTACAGATAAAAGTAGGTAGCCATCAGAAATTTACCATTGGTAATACAGGTATTGTCTTGCCACACTAACTAGGCAGTTCTGCCTCGGTTTTGAAGAACATCCTGAGAGGGGCAATCCAAATGTCTTCCACCCCTCTTCCATCTTAGAGGACTTCCAGCTCACCATGTATTTTGAGTGCCCCTGTGCTGCCCAGACACTTTATGCTTACAAACGTGCAAGCTTCCTCTGGTATTCAAACCTGGGCTCATCAGTGCAGTAGCCAGTGTTCCTAACCACCACACCAGCTGGGTGTCTTTACATACAGTGGTACTTTGGATCATGAGTGCCTTACATCATGAACAATTCAGTTCACAAACAAATGATTTGAACATAAAACAACCTCAGATTGTGAATGGTTTCTCATGTTATAGATACTCAAGGTCAGCAACGTGATTTTCTAAGGTATTTTGAGTTAACCTGTGCTGCTAATTAGTATTCTAGTGCACTCAAGAAGCATTATCTCTCATTGCTTAGCTCTCATTAATAAAGTCTGGCAATACGTTACTTAGGACCGTAAATGCTGCATGGAGAAAATTACGGCCAGTCTGGTTGGTCTACAGGGAGAGAATTGGAAAACTGTTAGAACTTTTTCAATATTGGCTCATACAAAGCCATTGGCTAGGAAGTTAACAGATCTGTGATCTGTAAAATTTAAGTAGAATGGAAATACAGAGATGCAAAGTATTCACATAAATATTTCACCCTGATAAAACAGTGGCAAACTACAGCATAAGCTTTTCAGTAACAATATCATGTGTCACTTTAGAAATAGTTTATAATACAGGAAATAACAATAATACTGGGGACATTTTGAATGAAAGGGAGGCCCACTCTGTCTCAAGCAGTGTCAAGTGGTGCTTAGAGACAAAGAAAAGATAAGAAGGTGCAGAGTCACTGATATAAGATTAGGCAAAAGAATTGCAAATTGTACAGTTCAGTGTGATTGTGGATTTTTGACTGTTTAGCATTCACTTTATAATTCCACTGAAATTTTGAAATACTTTTCACACCTGCCCATTAATAGTGTGAACAATTTTTTATATTTTTTAAACCTGTAGTAAATCCTGAGTTGATAAAGCTTTGTAAATTTATCTCTTTTCTCTCTTTATTGCACAAAATCATACTTTAGATTTTTCTGTCTTAAAAAAATATACGCCTAGAAACAAACTAAGCTGAAAAACAAGTTTGTAATTATCATGATGTACGGCTTAAATACAGAGAACCATTTGCTTGATTATCATAGCCATATTAGTTATAATGCTGAGAAAAATTAGAAGGAGCTGGAGCACATAAAAATCAGCTGTTATTAAAAAACTGAGTATGCTTTAATTCACATGATATTACTTTGCCATTTAGAAATTATTATTAATTTATTTTGAAAAGTATTTAAATTTTAAAATATTTCGAAGATAGCTGTTCCATAGCCGTTTTTGCATAGTCATAAAGTTAGGCTGGTATTTGAATATCACAAAGCCAGAGCTATCTGCATAAGGGGAGTGATGCCTTCATGAAGGACTTCTTGTATGAAACTGGCTCATATTCATGTTACATATCTGGAAAACCAAGCATGCAGACAGCCTGTTCACCTAGGATCAAACCCAAGCCAGGTCGAACTACCAGTATTCAATGGCCTTAACCACTTGGCCACTGGTGGGGCAGTTGTAAAATAAGAAACATCAAAGATGAAATCAAATTCTATTGCATATTTATAAGTCATTTCTTGAGTGAAAGAAACAGAAAAAATTGATTAATGTGCATATTTATATTGTCAGTTTCTGATATTATTCATCTATCTTTAATAGTTGTTAATAAGTAAATCTGTGATATTTGGGGAGTGGCATAGACGTTTTTAACTTTAATTGATATGAAGGAGAAATACTGGTATGATTGAGTCTCACTGATCAATAAATAAAATTATTTTTGTGTACACTTTTCATTTTCGTAATCAATTATGTACAGAAATGATTAATAAGTTCAGTTTAATGTTAAGTGTCAAATTTACTGTGGTATTCCTATTTTTATTAATTTTATTATATTAAAATTTGGAGAAGAAAATTATGCATAATATACCATTTCTGAGGAAGGGACTTAAAAAACTAAAACAAATTAAAAGCATATATGAGTCCGCACAGTAATTTCTAAGTTTCTTATAAAAACATGTATAAATATATGTACTTATTTTCAGAGAAGTTTGAAATACTATTCCATCTGCTTTTCACACTGTACATTGCGACCCATACCTTTAATTGGTGTGCAGATACTAAATATAAAATGCTAATTAATAAGGCTAAATAATTTAGTCCTGGAGATTCTGACTGATGGTAAGATCCTATGATAGATTTCAAAAGTGTCTAAGGATGAAGAAAGATGAAATTCATTTTCTTATGTCAGTGAAGACTTCAAAATTTATGAGTAAATATAAAGTTTCTAAATTATTTGCTAAGAGATTAAGAAGTGTATGAATAAATATAATATGCTGAATTTTTTTTTTTTTTTAAGTGTAGTACTGAATTGCATAATTAGTATTTCTAAGTTTGAAAAAAAGCTCGAATTTAGGAAAGTTCATTCATTTAACTTAAATGCTTATGACAATGGGGTACATACTAAAAGGTTCAGAAATTCTTAAAAAGTTTTATTTCTGTGTTTTATGTGCTTATTAATATATTACTGATATTTCCAACATGAATTTTAATGTATTATAGGCAACGCAGACTCGAGGAAGCTTTATTATATTCTGGTCAATTTAAGGAAGCAGTTATGGCTTTGATAGATTGGTTCGACAAGACAATTGCAACACTTTCAGAAACAAAAGCATATCATGGAGATTTGGATACAGTTACCTCACTTCTGGACCAGCATAAGGTGAATTTTTTGTCTAAACAAAAATTTGGAATAGTTTCTCATTGTATGCATATAACAAAATTGCGGTTCTGTTAGATTTTGTTCTGCTTTTCAAAATTGGAGAAGTAATCAGAGTCTGCTTTTGGCTATTTTATGATGAAATTTTTAAAAATATTTTTTAAGCGAGACTTAAGTGAAATAAAAGTGTTGAAAGGTAATGTATATAATGTAGTAATTATGCAGATTTTGCTAACTGTTCAGTTTGTCATGACTTTTGTAATTTGACTTTTTTCATGTTTGTAAAATTCTTACCAGTTTTCACTGACCATAAGAACCTGTATCAAAGTGTTGTAGGATCCACTGTTTGATACTGTCCATTTCTGGTTTTCACTCTCCATAAGAATCTGTATCAAAGTGTTGTAGAATCCACTGTTTGATGCCTGATTTAGGCAGAAATTCCAGTTTATGATGTTAGATTTGTGATTATGATGTAATATGTAAAAATTCAGGAGGTGGTAAAGATGATAGTTGAGCAAACTGTTATTCTATCAAAAGTTACATTAAGTCTAGACCATCTAAATTTTAGTTATCTAAAATCTAATGTTTCTGAATGTCATTTAGAAATTTGGAAAATTGCTAAATTTTTCTTAACTTTCTCTCCTCACAATGTTTCTGCCATGTGCAAGCCAGTGGATGAAGTAGAGAAACAAATTAGCTGTTTAATCTCTCAATGGTCTGTTTGTGACATAAATTCCAAATAAATGTCTTTTCAAGATTTTCATAGTTATGTGAAAAGTACAATTTTACTAAGACAAATTTAATCTTGAGAGGTGGGCAGAAGAAATGAAATAACGAAAGCTATGTTTGTTTATTTTCATAGACATAAGATGTGAGTGCTATTTGTTAAAAGCAAAAATTATAAAGTCAAGTCCATATATTATATTCTTGTGTACTCATAAATACTGGCATTCATCCTTTTTTTAAATATATGCAATAAAAGCATTTCATTTACTTATCTCATTTCCTTTTCTGCATTTATCAGGTAGCTAAGACATGTATTTCATGAAAATTGCACGTGGTCTTATTTCATGAAAATTATGTAATGATCTTCCTAACATGAAGATCAGGGATGGGCAAACATCTTTTGTCGTTTGCCACATTTACTTATTTATGGCCATTACAGAACATATATATTTAGATATACAAAAAATAATGATTGTAAAAAATGAGACTGAGTGTATAGTATCATCATAGGGAAGTGTGGTCTCCATAGATTTTATTCATTAATTGAACAGTGTTCAAAATTATAAGATTTTTGAGGACAAACTTAAAATTAATGAAATAAACCAAAAATATATATTTGCTATAATTATATCTGAGCATTAACTGCTGTGGGAAATGAATATCTTCTTGTATTCAAACGTAAAACTAATTAGAATAAAGTTTTTAATATACACGCAAAATTACAAAGACACAGAATTTAAAAGTCAACATTATTCTTTGCAATCAAATTTAATATTTTTGTTCCCACTGTCTCTTTTTAGAACCTGAGCTTTTTTTCTAGTCAACAAGTGTGTATAAATAATTAGGCAAGATTTTACATCATGTATCACATACAGCAATTTCTTGACTAGCATTCTCAAAACATTCTACTTAATTCTGGTGATTTAGGTGCCTACTGCAACAAATTAATATTTCTGTCAGAAAATCACCTTCCATTGGTAAACAATATACCATATAACAGTTGTTCATCTAATATATTTAAATAAACCCTTCAAATTCATATTTATCAAAATAAAAACCGGGTCATCCTTACCTTTGGCTGAAGTTACTGAAAGCTCTGTTGGCATGCCCTTGTAATGGCAACTCCGCTGTGTTACCATTTTATTTCCGAGAATCATGGATGTATTATTGAAGATCGTCTAGGCCAGCCAAATTAAATCTCATAGCATCTGAAAAAAACTTAATGTCTGGATTTACAGAACCATTTTAATTCATTCTAATGTTACTTATGTTCTTGTTATTTTGTGATTGTTTTGAGGAATTTTGATTCATTATTATATAATGTATTTGATATATTTAATGCAATGATAATATGCATGAAGTTTACCTAGAAGCAAGAAGTTGACAGTGAGAGCAATTTGACAAGCTCAAATTTTTAATCCGACCGTGCGAGCAATGACATTATCATTTGTTCTTTAGATCTGTCCACTTTTACATGTGAACATTTTTTTTGTCCTTCTTGAAGACATTCACTAGAGCAGTGTTGGATCTGTTAATTAATATTTTGTGGTATGATTTCCTTTCTCCATGAAATTTCCAAAATTTTTAAATATTGTTTTCTCTAAATTCATTCCCACTTCGCATTTTACTGATACAGCTATCTAAAATGATACTTTGTTAAGTTATTACAAGAATAGGTGATCAATCTGACGTCCTGTTAAGATTCACTGCATATTTAATTGCATCATAAGAATTTAAACTTTTGTCTTTGCAATTAAGAACATCTTTAGATGTTTGTTTTATAGATTTTTATTTTATTTTAAGCCAGACGTTATTGACTTTTATTTTATTTTAAGGTATAGGTATACATTTAAATGTATTAAGCATACATTTGGCAAGTTTTATATGAAATTATATAGTTGAACTCCACTATAATGAACCTGATTTGTAATAAAACCTTGGATTAATGACTAAACCTTTCAGTTCCATCCAATTTCCTATATGCTTAATGTTATTTCATGCAGCAATAGCATTTCTCCAAAGATGAGAAAATCGGATATAACAAACTGTATTGATATTCTGAACTGAAACATTTTTGTTATTTTTCATATTTTTTCTAAAATTTCTGCGAGTCTTACTGAAAAAATTAGTAACCTTTAAAATGATCCACATTTAGGGTGTTAGGATCTACATTCCATTCGTAAAGGCATATACTTTTATGTTAAGTTTCTTCTATTTGCATGTCCATTTTTCTCTACATTCTAACAAAGGGTTTGCAAGTTGAGTGTGAATGTAATTCTAGGAGAATAGAAATACAACAAGTATATCATAGGACACCATCTAGTGTATGCTACCACTGAACCAAAGAAGATGAATGGGTTCTCTGATTCCATCCAAATTCTTTGACACAGCTTTATTCAAATCTGAAGCTGTGATGGAAATTTTGGAATTTTCATTATTCAGGCAAAGAGAAAGTAGTGATTCTTATGAGTTTTCAATTTTACAGTTGATTATTCTTTCAGGGAATGAAGGTTTTCTTTTGTGTGTATAAATGCTACAAATTTTATACTCTGAATTGGGGTTTTGCATTCTTTAGGTCTTTTTGCAAGACAAAATATTCTTTATAAAGGTTATTGAATCTTTGCTTTGGAACTTTACATAAATTGGGGGAAATGGTTGTATTCTCACTATATATTGGATAAAATGTATTGGTGATGAAATTACCTTTCATCTTTTCTATAAGAGCTAAACTCTCATATACTTTGACCAAACATTGTGCACTCTGCTTTTGTGTCGGAAATTCATCTTCATGACAAGCTATAAAGAGAGCATTCTGCATTAAATATAAGGTAAATATTATTTGAAAGATGCAAAGTAGATGCAGCCAAATTGATAACTTCCTTTTAAAAATCAGGAATTGTTATCATAGAGAAAATTCAATACTCAACTATTTCAGCTCATGGAAAAATTTGAATACGATAAAAAAGATGAGAAAGCCGAAGCATAAGGTTTTTGAAGCATTGCTGAAATGGTTCAACATTCAAAGAAACCTTAATGTGCCAATATCTGGACAAATGCTTCAGGAAAAGATCGTTGAATTTCCTAGACACTTTGGAGATACTGCCATTTTTTCGTCAAAAGGCACATTGGATAGGTTTAAGAAATGAAACTGCATTTCTTTAGTAAAAAAATGCTGTAGAATTAAGCAGCATTTCAAAATTACATTTTGAAAAATGGACAGAAAGTTTAGGCTGATAGATATCTCTTGTGATTTCCTCTAAGCATCAATGGCCTTAAGTCCTCCTTGTCAGCTGATATTGTTGATTTAAAAGCAGATGAAACAATTATAATTGCAAGGTTCATTAAAACTATAAACTGATTGGAAGGTAAAGAATTTAATGACTTTCCAATAAAAAATCGGAAGGAACTGATAGTAAACATACTAAAGTCATTGTCTTAACTCCATCATTGCATATTCATAACTGTTGGATCTAATTCTTTTACTCCATGGCCTAAAAGTGAAGAATTTTAATACCCAGCCATCCCGATGATTTCATAATGATGCTGACAAGTCGGCTACTATTAACAAATCTAAAAACCTTCACGTAAGCATCCCACCATCTTGCTGAAGGTTGTATTCTTCATGACATAAAATGAATTTCATGAGGATGCTGCCACCTTTGTAGTTGTGTGCAGGGACCTTCCCCAGTTTTAGCAGCAGAGAAATCCCCCTCCCTGTTTTAGTGAACATGGCTGAACATGCAAGTTGTCCATGCTGCCAAGACTGCCCATCTCCTGCTGGTACGAAGAAAAAGATATTTTCAGAAGTGAAGTAAAAGTATAAAGTTAATTTGTCAATATTTTTTGTTACTCATGTGTAGTGTTTTTATATTTTTATGGATATAATTATTCAGGTATTTTCATTATTCATAGTTATAAATGTGTTACTCAAGGGGAGAATCAGATCCGTAATATTTATGCTAACTAATCTATCATGCAAAATTATTAACCATTAAGTGGAACTGGAAGAGAGCAACTAAAAGATTTAATGTGCGAAAAATTATTGCATTTAAATTTTATTATATTTTTTAAAGATTTTTTATTCTCTTCTTTTGATAGATGTAGCAGTGTTAATCTTTTTGATTTATTATTCAAATTTTACACATTTTTTTAGATAATTCTTTATTTCTTATCAAACTGGATATAGCTAACCACTGGTTCTAGCAGAACAAACTGCCGGTGTCTTGACGTTCATTATAGTGGGGTTCAATTGTAAATCTTTTAACTTTACTTTCTTTGTATTTCTAGTAGCAAAATACTTTTGTCCTTATGATTTTAAAAATTGTTCTATTAATTTTATGCAGAGTTTTGAAGAAGAGTTGAAAAATAGAGGCTTAAGTTTGGAATCAGTATGCAAAACTGCTTTAGATTTGAAAAAAGAAGCTAGTTCTGCAGATGCTGAAAGCCTAGCTTCTCAAGTTGATGAGCTGAACTCTAAATGGAAAAAAGTCTCAGAGTTAAGTGAAAAGAGGAAAAAGCAGTTGGATGAAGCTTATCATCTGGTAAGATATTTAATGTTATTCATCTTTAGACCTTTTTACAGATATGGATGTACTGTCTTTAGTTTCTCTTATATCTGTATAAAATTTACAAGGAATTTAAATCTGATATCAAGAATATATATTAAAAAATCAGCATAATTTGTAGAAATTTATTCAGATATTTTTATTATTTGCAGTTTAATTTTATTTGCACTTAAAGTGAAGCATATAAAATAAAAGGGCATTTAGTTAGAATCCTAAAGCTTTATGTTTTGCTTTTCTAGTTTTCTACCTGCTTATGAAATGAGCATAAATATCCTACTTTAACCCGCAGGCACTTATATTGCTAAAGGTGAAATGTTTTGGGGGTAGTCAACAGCTGGACTTTTGCCTAAAGTATTTGCCACCATTTAGTCATGTAGCTATCTCATCACCAAGAACATTGCCCTGGGTGCACTACAGGAAAATGGACTAATATTATTCCAGCAAGGAAAGGGACAGGATACACACATACACCAAGTTGTAGATCAGAAATGAGCCCACATCTTTGGTTTCAGAAATTCTTCTTAAACTATGGAAGACAAAATTGTGTAAAAAAATTGCATTCAGTGTGTCATATGAGGGTCATGTAAATCAGTTGTGTTGAATATTTATTTTTTCATTTTTAATTAGATATATTTTGTACTTTGTTATTGAAATACAGTTCACAAATGTCTGTTGGCATGTTAATTAGCCCAAGGAGAATATCAAAAATTTTTTTTAAATCAGATCTTTTTTTAATTTGAATCTGGTTTTTTTTTTTTTTTATTTGAATCTGAATTTTTTTTAAACTTTTTTTCTACATTAACTAATTAAATGGTTACCACACAGTGGAAGTTTTCAAAGTAATTAAATTTCTAATTAGAAGATTCTAAAATGTATAGCACATATTTTATATATTGGAGATAATATAAATTGCTTTAAGTTTTTTGATTCATTGGCGAGGCAGGAAGAGATCGATCAGGGAAAGGAAGTTTCCCTTCTTCTTTTGGATCCTCTTCAACTGATGACAATATCGTCAGGGCTAAAATTTTCTGAATGGCACGTACCATCTCTTGGAATTTTCTTTGAAAATTGGTCAGTGAGAAAGGTAATGTGTTTTCCCCTCTGCTTCATTGTTTGGCACTTCTTCGATCACTCATTCCCAATTGTAATCATTCTTTGATTACTGCACTGTAGTTCTTCACATTTTTCTTATAATTTAGTTTCTTTGTGGTTGAGATCAATCTGTTTTCAGCAGTATCTCTTTTGACTGATAATTTTTTTTTTTTTCGAATGGCGGCACTATTCACTGGTAAGTTATTCCAATCATCGACCCTTAGCAAACTCACTTCATATTTACTTCATCCCTTGGCAAACTTACTCTACCATCATCATTTTTTCTCAAGATCCTATGAAAGTGATCCAATACAACCATTTCCATTTCTACACTAGATTTTCTTTCACTTTGATCAATTATTCCTAAATTATATAATTGCCATAAATTCTGTAAATTATTACTGTGGATTAGCATACTGTTTATCAAAGGTGAAGTACTTTGAAATGAAATGCAATTGTTTATCTTGCCTGTCGAGTAATGTCTGTACTGCATCAAGACCAGATGATAAGTGGAAAACATTGCTAATGTAGACTTCCAAGCAAAGTGAGATCCAGTTAAAAGTTCTATCAGTAGTGAGTCTTTTCGTATATCAGTAAGACTGATTCCTTTATCCTGAAATTTTCTTGAATAGTAGGAATGTGCCCACAAATAACTTACTGGTCCCAAAACTTGGATTTCACAAGAGTTCTTTAAATTACCCACCATTACTTGTAGCATTTATGTTGTTTTCTAGAATAATATCCCCGAACACAACATGTGTTAAATTTTCACTTCGTTGAACGGTCGCCCCCATTTGGTTCAGGGTAGATTTAAGAATGTACAACACCTCTGTGATCTCATGTCAAAATAAAGCTCTTACAGTTCTCTTCCCATTTGCTTCAATGGATAAAAATATAGGAACTTCTATTTGTATAAGTACTTCTAAATAGGCTATTAATTTTCTTATCTATATTAGATAATCCAGAACACATTTTCAATTTTCTTTCCATACATTTCACTTTTCTTTTCACAATGTTTCTTTTCACAAATTATGCATCAGACATTAGCCTTGCAATTTTTCAAATGATGCCCAATTCTCAAACATCCAAAACAGGCTTTATTTTTCCTTTTTACCCTATATATCCTTTAAAAAAAAAAGACATTTGTTGGTCTTTAAAACACTTAAGAGTGATGTTTTTTACCACAAATACGCAAATAGGTTTCATAGCTTTTGTACACAAAACAAGATCATTGGGACAGAAATTTTGTCTTTTGTGTACTTTTGAATTTTATTTGAAATTTCATTTGATTTAACACCAGCTTTGGATAAAGGAATTCATTCTTACCTTCAACTTTGATGCAAAGAAACAGCAATAACTGGGGTAGTTTATCATCATAAGAGTATGTTTCTTCTTTATTGATCATTGGATCATCCATTCTGGATGGCAGCCCGATGTCCTAGCCTCTCGGTATGAGACAGAGCACTGGCCTTCCATGATGTCACTGCAGGACAGTGGGTGCTCAATTGCTTAGCCTAGTTTTGCTAAAAAAATTGGCAAAAATACGTTTTTATTCAATTTACTTAATTTTTCAAATATATCAAAAAATGCATTTATCTTTATGCTTGGTGAATTACAGAATTAAATACATACAAATTTTGCAGCTGTAATGATATATGTAGACAATCAAAGAGGAATTTTAAAACATTCAGCATTTGTTAACCAACAATTAAAATATTTAATGTAAAGTAATAAATCTACACAGGTACATCAACACATACATATATATATTTACAATGAAATTTAAAATTTGTTTTCTTTGTGATATATTCTGAAGCATAGATCCACACAGAGTCCTGTATTGCAATCTTTGCACTTAAAGTAAGATTTTTTCCCAAAGCTCGCTTTCCCTGCATAACTTGTGAGCAAACAATGCATCTTCTTCTCATTTTCTTTGTTCTTATTAAAAATTAGAGATGGAAAATGCCTTTCTGGAATGTGAAATGGCATCATAAATATTGCTTTCGCTTTGTCACCCAATTCAAAAAAACCCAAAAAACTTATTCCCGCACAAAAGAAAGAACACCCTACATTAGTTATGAAAAGAAGAAACTAGATAAAACCTGGTCTAACGCCAGATACTCTTCCCTCAAAAAGCCACTCGAAAGAAATATAAACAAAAATACACGAGTGCAGCATGCTTGCTTGACTCAGCATGCTTGTGTATATTACTGAATAATGCTATCTACTCTCATCTACTCAAATCAAATGGAACGGTCTAAGGTCAAAGTTCAGGCATCATAATTCCAATTTATTTTGGTACCATGGGCATAGGGCACCATCTGTTAGAATTAAAATGTTTACATTTCATTCCATGTGACTGTCACGTATACATTACAGCAGTCTAGCCAGGTGCTAATCCTATGAGATGCAAATGTCACACCCGCCATAGATGAACCGAATGCTACCGTGGCGTATACGACACACTCGTACTGAAAGGGTTAACAAATTTTCAGGAATGCATGATTCCACTAATGGGAATAATACAGCAGCATACTTGTGAGTAATTATGCCATTTGATTCTAAAGACCTCAGATATGTCTCCAATCTATCATATAGCTGCATAATTTTCAATCTTCATTTTCATGTTCATAGCAATATTTACTACCAATGATCACAGCAATTTTTACTACCAGTTCGTGGACATAATACTCAAAAAGCAGCTGTTAATGGCCAAACCTTTTTTTAGGCTATCAATGGCTTTTGCATAGCTATCAGCAGTTGGCGAATATCTATCTACAATTTCTCGTACTCTGCTGCCAACTGCCATGCATTGCATGAGGTACTGAAGTTTATGTTCATAACCAACTGACTCGTTATCATGAAGTCTACTCCAAAATGTGAGCCAGTCTTTCACTTCTCCACTTAATTTAAGCAATTGTATTTTGGGGAGCTTTAATTAATTTTTTTTCACCTGTGTTCATTGCCAACGGTTCACGAAAATTTTAATGTTTATCAAGGTATGCTTTAGTAAGAATACAAGCTACATCTAATTTTTCTCAATATTCTTCAATTTTTTGGTATTCAGCATCATACAGTTCAGCCAAATCTGTAGCAGTTTGCTCTAAACAAGGAAATTTATTTTCAATTTCCTCACGTTTTAAATCTGTTTCATTTAAAGATGCTGTTAACAAATTGTAACATTTCATGAACATTGCTGTAATGGTTCTTCTTCTTTTAATAATATTTTCCATATTAATAAAATCTTAAATCAATAAAATCAGTATTAAAAAATTCACTGACCTTTATCTTTAAACATCACATCTGGGTCACCACAAAATGTATAGACTTTTCAGAATGGATAGACTGCTAATCTATTTTCTCAGAATTTTTATAACAAACTTATTCTTTGAAACCAAAATTAATTCTAAACATAAACAGTGCATCAAAAAAATTAGTTTGTTACACTTGTTAACAGATTTTCTTTGTGGCTACCTCAAAGTGGAGTACTTACACAACAGTATAAAGTTAAAATTGGGTGCATGTGACTTTTATTTTACTTTATGAGATCCTTATCAAATAATTTATATTTATAGGCAGAAGAACTTCACAGAATGGTTCATATACTATTAGAATGGCTTTCAGAAGCAGAAATGAAGTTACGTTTTGTTGGACCTCTTCCTGAAGATGAAGAATCAACAAAAAAGCAAATACTTGACCATGAAAATTTCTTGAATGAAATGGAAAAACAAGAAGTAACTAAGAATAACACCTTGGAAATTGCCCATGATATACTAAAGAAATGTCATCCAGATGGGTTGTCAGTTATTCGTCATTGGATCACAATTATTCAATCTCGATGGGATGAAGTAAGTTTGATTTTATTTACTTGCAGATTTACATGAGCTGATAGTTTAAAATAGCAGATAAAAATTGTATCCAGCCATTTTTATAGAAGAATACGATTTGATAGAATTTTAAAAATTAGTTGTGCTTAATAGGAATATGTTTAGTACAAGATCATGGCTAACACAAGCATTTTTTTTAAGTATGATTCACTGTTTGAGAGCAGAAACACTGAATGCCTAATAAAAATAGAACATTAATTTTCAGTTTTCTAAATGTTGCTTAATCAGTTTGTGGAGAACCCATGCAAACTGCAGTTATATATATATATAACGGGGAAGTTTTTATGACCACCCTATATATGATGTCATATATAGTCTTATTGACTGCATTTTCCTTTATAATTTAAAGTAATAGTATTGTTGCATCTTTGTTATCAATGTCTGGAAATAAGTTTATGATATCTTTTCATGTTATTCCAATATTACATACATCTTCAATGTTTTATTATAGGTTTTATTGATACTTATGATACCTACAGCATTTGTAGTATTTCATGTAGGCAATGATAGATAAATATGCAACAGAAACTTACGATGTTTAATGTATACACAATATATTTTCTCTTCTGTGTGTAGTATTAATCTACCTTGTCTTCTGTCTGTAGTATTAATCTACTGTTTGCCACATCAGAAAGGCTTGTGATCAATAGCAAGCTAGTCATAGTTAAATTTTTGGGGAAGGAAATATTATATACAGATGCAAATTTGCAGAATGTTGGCACTCAATCGGTGGATTACTCGCTCTGTTATCACTATCACACTCATCGCTATCATCAGATGCTTACTCTTAATTCAAGGGGGACATGAACTATTTAAGCTTTTGGGTAGTTCTAAAATGTATTTATAGTTATAAAATAAAATGTTAAGAATTTCTTTAAGTAGCAAGTGAATTTAAATTTTCATCTTGAGTAATTTTTAAAGATTTTTCATGGCTGATTTTTTAACGTGTTTATGACTGTAATTCTTCATTAAATATGTATTGTATTATTTAATTGTTCTTAGGTAAGTAAAATATCTTTTTTTTTTCTGTTTTAAGTTACTCTATTTCTTGTAATATTTTTATATACTTTTATCACAAATATCGTTTTTGTAATGGCTGAACTAATATATGATCTATATCGTGACCATTTACTATTTAAATTCTTTGTAGATATTTGCATGGGCAAAACAGCGGGATCAACGGTTACGTGATCATTTATTGTCTTTGAAGGATATTAATGATCTGCTAGAAGAGCTTCTGAAATGGCTTATAAATGCAGAATCTACTCTAACAACCCTTGAAGCTGAGCCTCTACCCGATGACTTGCCTAGTTTAGATGAGCTAATTAAAGAACATCAGGTACCTAAAAGAAATTTTCCAAACAAAGCAGTTTCATTATTTTATGACAGTTATATTTTGGGATGCTAGTTTTATGTATTTGCAACGAATTTTTAATGCAAAACGTATTAGGTTAATTTTTCCATATATTTTCAAAAGAATTTCCTAGATTATACATATTATGCTTATTATGCACATTAATATATGACTGCTTTCCAGACTTTTATGAATGACATGTCTAAACGACAAACTGATGTTGAGAAAATATCAAAAGCATTTTCTCCTAAACGTCAAAATAAAGGACTTCTTCCTTCACATGGAAAAGAAAAGACAAAGGAAAAGATTCCACGTTCATCAACTCCTGCTTCTTTCAAGACATCAACTCCATTGTAAGTTTTTGGTAATAATCCTGAAATGATAAAGCTGTAATTTCAGATTTATAAATTCAATTTATTAGAAAGTAGTGATGAACATGTATAATAAATATTCGTTGGTTTTTTGCATATTTTGCTTTATCTTCATTCCTGTTTATTAGCTTATTGTATTTTATATATTTTTAGGACTTCATAGCTCTGCTCTTGTTTCTATTTAATATATAATTTATTATTCTCATTTTATTAAATGTTATTCTGATTCCAATTTGTTGCTTTGTTTTTATACTCACTGGATGAATGTGTTGAATTAAATTTATATATTAAAAATTATATATCTTCTAACATGTAGTAGGCATCTCTGAGGGATCTGAAGAAAAACAGAGACTAGAATTGTAAATAGCATTCATATTATCTAATTTCATTCACTTGTAATCTTCCATAGCTTGGTTGATAATGTATGATGATGCAGGCAAGAAGTCCACAGTTCAAATCTGGCTGTTGCTTCCAATTTGTTGCTCTTTTTATTAGTATTAATAACTTTTCTAAATTCTTATATTTAAAGGGAATTTACTCGTGGAAAGTAATGGTAATGGAATAATATCCCAAAACTCATGTAATAAAAATTTTTACAAAAGAAAGCAGTATAGTAAAATGTCTGAAATCCAGACATCTAAAATCTGAATGTCCGGATCACCAGCAACCTTTTTTTTTAAGATATATTTTGCATGCTTTAACCATGCGCATTCGATATTTTTTCATAGTAAAAGCATGGAGAGTTCTGATTCTAAATTTTACTTTGGCATTAAATAAAGTACCTCCATGTTGAAAATGTATGAACAATGTATGATCAATAATTCCGCTTCTTCTTTCTTGGCATTCATCTCAAACTGAAATATTCTACATCAAAACATTGTTGATTTTACTCCCACTGAATAATTGATATCCCTGTCAAAAAAAAACTGGTAAATCATTATTTGTTATTTTTTGCTTTCATTACTGCATGACTATCAATATGTGGCAGCTTGATAAATGACTCACACTGTGATGTCTTTTTCATAAAATAGACAGTTTTTTTTTATTTTAGTAATTGAATAACAAAGAACATAGTAACTTTATGTTGATATTATGCTTGGCAATGATTACAGCCTTCAGTTAGTTGCTCTGAGAAGTGTTGAGTGTTTTCACAAGGAAAAATTTAACAGAATTTTATGTTCCTTATGCGAAAAAAAGATATTTTTGTAAATGATACTCTTAGGATACTCTAATGATACTCTTAAATGATATTTAGGGCCGTTGATCAAACAGAAATTGATTTTTTGTTCAAAAATAAGGCCAGGATTGACGCTGAATCCGATGCAGCCACACCGGGCAGCAGAAGGGAGGCAAAAGTTTTAGAATTTAAAGAAGCACTGGGGTAGCAAAATTTTTAAAATTTTAGGAAGTCTATTGGCAGCAGAATTTAGGACCCACAGAGACTACACTGGCCACAAAATCTCCAGCACTGGCTCTGGATAAGCCTTATGTTTGAATTTTACTTATTCGGCATTCAGATAAGCCTCGAGTATATGCGAGAAATAGGTATACATGTAATAAATAACTAACAATATTCAGGTTTAACTTTGTCTGTGCATAACAGAAGCAGAACAAAATTTAGTGGAAGATGTCTTCAGTCACTAATCTCATTATACTTTCCCAACTGTGTATAGCAAATGCTAGTAAGGCTTTATGATGATAGCCCTGAATTTGAATGTTTTCAAGTATCGCATACAAAAAGCAAAATTTTTCAGTTAATGGAATTTGTGAAGAAATGAGGAGAAGCAATAAATTAAGATGATATAACAGAAGTTTTTCATTGCAATGACAGTGGCCCAATTATCACTCAAGTAATGGACGACAAAATCTGTAGTATGGCTCTAAATCCAGAAAATTTTGCTACCGATAGTGAAGAAAGTGATAGGTTGTTTAGGAGGAGGACATTACGATTGAGAATTCAGAGGGACTTAATAATGACCAAAATGTGTCATTATTAAGAATGTGCAAAACTTAAGATATATAATGAAATAACTAACTTAAATCTATGAAGTATCCTGTTTCTATAAAATTTTATTTATATGGAACAAAATAATATTTTAAAATTTTTCTTTCACTATTGCTCAGATTAACCTTTTCCTTAAATTTCAGACGTAGTCATCTTGATTCTGACATAAAACATCCCAGAGCAAAACTGCTTTTAGATAAATGGCGTAGTGTATGGCTTTTAGCTATGGAGAGGCAACGAAGGTTGCAAGACAAATACAACTATTTACTAGAGGTATGACTCATGATTTTTGCATAAGCTTTTCAATTAAATGACTTTCATACAATGTTTGAAATCCATTTATGTCATTTCAAAAAATAAAATACATTTCTATTTCACTTTTTCCTAGATTATAATAATTTTAGACGAATTTTAATCAGTTTACTTAGAAAAAGGCAAAAATATTTATTGTGTATTTTAATTTAAAAGAATTCTGCAGTCAATTTTATCTGTTAGTGGCATTTTGACCAAATAAAAGTTCTAAAAGTTCTTGCTTGTTTTTATCAGCTGTGCTGAAAAAATAACTCAATATGACCTCAACTCAGTATGTCTTAATTTAAAAAAAAAATGCCTTCTTTCATGTTTTTCAAGTATATTAGTTTAATTTATCTTTTTATTTTTCTTGTTATCCTATTGATCGGGCCTATTCTTGTAACCTACAGTTGTGGAACAATTATTTCTTAGAAAAATAGATGCCCATATGCCATTTATACCATCACAACCAGATAAATGCAGTGAAAATTTTTTGTTTAATGCTGATTTAAAAAAAAATTTTTGAATACTTTCGCTCATTTAGAAGAAATTAAATCTTGATTTGGAGGACGAAAATTAGCGGCATATCTAGTGCTAAGGCTTATAGAATTTTATCAAATGCTATAATGTGACAGTTTATAATTTCTTCACTGGTCAGTATTAATGAAACAGCTAATAAGTGTAAAATAACTTTTGTTAAAAAGTTTCTGAACTTTTCTGTTATTTATAGGACAATGTGTGTCAAACGGTTTTCTACAGAAATGCATATGTACAGTCAAAAGTTCTTTAATCTGGACGTCCATAATCCAGAATGATCTATAATCCGGACCTCAAAGCTACAAACTTTTTGCGCATGCGTTGATGCATGCGCATACCCTTACGCATGCGCATAATACATTTACACGTGCGCATAATACATTTACACATGTGCATTTAATGTATAACGGACGGTATAAGATAAGCTAAAATTATCTAATTCAGTTAATGTTGCAGATTGCGTTGTTCCTTAATCTTCTAATTGGATCCAGCTTATTATTTTTTGCAAGACTTGTTAGAGCAATTTTATAAAAGTAAGCTTGAACTTTTGATTATGTAAAAAAAAATTTCCGATTCTGGAGCTGCCATAGAATCTACAAAGCGAAAGCATGTTTCGATGTCCATCAAACAAAAAGTGGAATTGCTGCAAAAAATGGATAAAGGCATATCCTTTGTTTCTCTAAACATTCCGAAATCTGTTTATCAATTTTACGCTGCTCTGCGGGGGGGGGGGGACGCCACGGCGCGCAATGAACTGGAAGTTTATCTGCCAGCACTGTCCTTATCTTCAGGGCAGATGTTTTTATTTTATTCGACTTATAATTCCTTACTAAAGTAGTATTTCATCTCAATGTACTCTGTCTTTGATATGATTTAAATCAAATTCCTCGTCATTGTAAATATCACAAATGCACATCAAATAGTTTTCTGGTTGCAATTTTCTAATTTCGACTATGTGTAATGTATGCTTTACGCATGCGCGCGCTGAAAGAAATGTTTAATAAAGTAAACAAATAAATATTAAGGGTTTTTTTTTTTTTTTTTTTTTTTTTTTTTTTTTTTTTGTAAATTTTGATACCCTTTAGATCATAACTGCTCTTTATTTTGTAAATTACGGTTTCGTATTTTTAATTTTATAATTTCTGCATGCCATCTTACCAGATTTAAACTGATGATCATAATCTGGAAAAACCAATAATCCGGAATCGTTGAAGTCCCGACGAGTCCGGATTAAAGACTTTTGAGTGTAATAACAAATCTCGTTGACCACTATTAAATTAAATGTGTTATTCTTCAATGGTCTTGTTTTCAAAGTACCATAATTTCTGGAAGAAACGCCGCGGCGTTTACGTGTTTAAAAACTTAAATTTTCAGCGGGTGCGGCATTTAGGTGCACTAAAAATAAAATATTTCCTATGATGGTCATTGTACATAGTTTGGATGGCCTGCATAGACTGGTGCTGTTCCCACACAAAAGACCACTCAGTTGCTTTTTGCGAACGTTATTTTGTTTACATTCTTTCCCTTGAACGGGCCTACACGACTTATTTACCCTAAACGAGATCTCAGAACAAATAACATTCTTCCCCCTTTCAAATCAACATTCTCATCAGTTTAAATAGTCTCTCTCCTCTGCCATTCGATGAATCTTCCAGGACCCATCCTCTCCCCACCCCTGCCTTTTCTGCAATTTTTTTCAAAGGCGGACACGACTCCACCTGCCTCGAAATAATGAACTCTGACATTTTCCCCTTCAGCATGAATGGATTTTTCTTGGCATTCTGCCAAATACAGATCCCATCAGTTTGGGTACAAGTACTTGTTGGATAGTTTTTAATTAGGGAGCGGAACATTTTTGAAAATGTCTCTAAACAGCACAGAAGCTATACATTTCTTACCTTTAATTTATTTTTGAGTTATGGTTTCATTTCATGCATTTTTCTTAACTGGTATGTCATATATCAGGACTTAGGTTAAGTTTTTGCATCTATACGGCCCACGACGATGTCACGCGCAATTTAATCTATTGCGGCGTTTACGCTGATGCGGCATTTCTGTGTAATTTTAATTTTTTCCCGCCATTTTTCTCTAGTGCGGCGTTTATACTGATGCGGCCTTTCTTCCGGAAATTACGGTAAGTTTTCTTAGTAAAAATTTTTCAAGTCTGTCTTTCTATTTCATTCTTTTTTAAATTAAAGTAACTAACCTTTTATGTGTAGAAAAATTTTATCACAGTAGAAATGATCTGATGACGAAAGCATGTTTTCTTGCTAGAAGTATAAATTAGCACACATGTCTTTCTGGGAAAAAAATTTTATCGTCTTAGAATGGAAGTTCCCAAGCTCAGATAATTAGATGTTTTGTATTCCACAGATATGCATAAACGTAAAAGTATTTGCACCAAACTTTAGTTTCTTTTAAAGTAGTAATCAGAAAAAGTGTATTGCATTAAAAGCAGCCTTTGAGTATTTGTAGGGAAAAAGAAACCACCAGTAAAATTTTACCAATAAATCCAAATGAGATGTAAACATTGATTTGATTGTGTAGCAGTTTGCTTAACTTAGTAACTGATTTTATGAATTTGGTAATTACTAGGTATTTAAAATATTTATTTTATTGTATTTATATTCTGCAGGAAGACTTCTGCCTTCTCTTTATTGATAAAGTTAGTTATTTTGAGTATTTTCTACATATAAGGAAAATTGATTGAAAACTTGAAAAGTCTTAACTAAGTTCTTAATTTCTGAAGTAGAAGATTAAATTATATGCCCTTTCGCCAACCTGAATAGAATAATAGGAACACAATCTTTTTAGATCATTTAAAACAAAAAGTAAAAATATGATGCTGATATCTACACACATTTTAATATTTAGCAATGTTATATATGCATTTGATTATTATATAATTTCATATTGTTAAATGAATATCAGCTGATTTAATTATGGCCTTTTTATGTCATAAAAATTACCATAAAAGTAAACCCCTTAACGCCTACATTTGAAAGTTATTTATATACTTGAAACATAATTTTGGAATTTTTTAATTTATCCCATCATAATGTCTCTGAGGTTTCCATTTCTGTCACATTTGCATTTCATCTCTTTCCCCTCAAAGTTTTTAGTGCTTATATAGTGACTGTGTAGTATATTTTTATAATCAGTGATTTTTATTATCTGTTTTTTATTTGTTTTTAAAATAAAAAGATTTAAGTACATTTCAGACTCCGGTCTTTTTTTTTCCCCCAATTAGATCTTCAAATTCAAATGCAGTCATCCCCTGCTTAATTTTTATTTGCATTACTTACTAGCAACACCTGCATCTTGTTTCAGATGAAATTTTTAACATTCTTGCACCATAAGAAAAATTCATTTATACTTTTTATAAACTATGATAATTTAAGAACTCTACAATTTATCCTTGCTAATGCTTATTTTTGTTTAAATGTCATTTTGTTCTTAGTAGTAGAATAAATATGCCCTTTCAAAATAAGTGATCTTTTTTAAACTTAAATGTAGGAAGTTCTCCCTCAGAATTATTCTAGTTACAATAACATTCATTGCCTTTTTTAAATAGAAAATTGACTGAAATATGTTTGAAAATCTTGAGCTGTCTTGACAATAAGGTTATAATTGATTTGTAAAAAAGCATTGTTAAATGCTATCATATGATAGCATTGTTAAATGCTATCATATGATATAGAATGTCTTTTACAATGCCAGTTCATATCATATCATAGCTAGCATAAATTTATCGGCTTTAATAAATATGGTCAATGATTAAATTCTTATTTACAGATTTGTCACAACACGAATGCCACTTTAATCTGTATGCTATAGGATTCCAGTTCAAAAGCAGTATGAATACTCTGAATTGACCAATCAGATGATAAGGCTAGTGGATGGAAAACAGTTTTTAGAAACAAAAATAACTTCTGTAGTTTTATGTTGAGATTCCCTTCTCCTGTTATGGCATTCTTCCTTTTAAGTATGCTCAATTGCATAAATGTGTTATTTGAGTTCTTTTACTGCTCAGATTTTGAGTTACTTTGCACTCGAGTTAAGTAAATAAGGGATATTTATTTTAAAGAACTTGCTTTGCATGTGTTCATGGGATCATCATGATAAAAATTTTGAGTTAAATTGCCGTTTAGCTGAGTTAAAAGGTTTTTGGTGGCAGCAATTAACATGTTTTTAATTTGTTGATCATTCCTTCATCTAAATCTCCAAATTTAGAGCAACAGTACTTCTACAGTCAGAACATAGTTGTAGGAAACCTTGTCTGTGCAATATTTACATCTGTAATGCATATATCTTGAATAAACAATTTAATATACAGGATGATTCAGAATTCATCATCAATATTTGGTGGGGAGGTAGGGAATTGGAAAAGAAGGAGATTTCACATAGGAATGCATTGGTGCGTATGCCATGCATTCCTATGTGAATCCATGCAAAATGACCCCAGTTCAATGATGGAAAGAACACATAAAATGGAACTAGTAAGGAAAAAAATATTTATTATCTTACATGTAACATTTCTTTGCATCAGTTTTGCAGACTTACAAGAGGTGCTCGAACTGCTGACGATGTGCCATGTGTTAGAATGCATGACTCACAACGTTGCATGGACAAACGGAATTCCTGGAATATGCCTGGCATTTACATGCATATCTACAAGTTCGTTCCATGTATAACGGTTCATGTTACTTCTGCAAAGTCACCTAGTTGAATGGTGATTGGATGCACACGTCAAACAGCTGTACTTATGTATGGAAGCTGTGTACACACAGCGCCCTCTACACCACCTTGCGTTCGTCTGCACCCATACTTTAATATGTGAAATCTCCTTTTCCTATTCCCTACCTCCCCACCAAATATTGATGATGAATTCTGAATCACACTGTATACTTTAAGTTATACAAAATGCACTTGACCTATAGAATGATAGGTATGATTAGATAGCCAGTGAAATAAATGTGTGAAAAATAAATGTAATCAGTTTTTATCTATCTTGAATAAACAGAAAAATGTGACTTTTCCATTATTTTAATAATACTTATGGATTAATTTAATTGTCTGAAAATATTTAAAAGGCTTGTCCTTCTCTCGCCACAGTTCATTTACTAGTTGTTTTAAATTCTGTCATAATGGGTGCATTATATTATTATTTTAACATAAGAATATGAAATTTTCGCCTTTCAAATTTACATAAATTGCGTTACGTGAAATAGAGTGCTTATTTTTATTTCAGTGCATTACATACTGTACGCTACTCAAATTAATTTATTTTTTATATTTATATTAATATCATTAGGCTCCTTAGTGTAATCCATCATTTTATATTATTTTGAGTTTATAGTTTTAAGTTGCACATTTGAATTAAAGTGTATTATTTTCTTCTTCTCTAGCTTGACAGGATAAAACATTTTGATTTTAATGAGTGGCGCAAAAGAGTAAGTAGATATTAAAAGCTCTGTATTTAATTTAATGTGCAATTAAAGTTATTCTAATTCTTTTAAAATATTTTTCTTTTTATTCTTTTTAAGTACCTTGGGTGGATGAATAATAAAAAATCCCGCATCATGGATCAGTTTAGAAAAATAGACAAAAATAATGATGGAAAAGTAACAAAACAAGAGTTTATTGATGGTATTTTAAAATCAAGTAAGTATTGCAATGTTTGCTTCAAGTCTTTAAGGGCATCTGAAAATTTAGAGATGATTATTGTGCAGTATATTAATCAATATAAATGCTAATGATACTGGTTGGTTGAATGTGAATGCTATAAATTTATTGGTCAAGAACAACATTTTTGTGCTTTACAGAATTTGCTACCAGTCAGCTAGAAATGGAGCGTGTAGCTGATATTTTTGATAGGAATGGAGATGGATTCATTGATACAAAAGAATATATTGAAACTCTACGTCCAGAGCGAGAGGTTTGTCCTACTATTCTGTTTCAGAGAATTAATTACAATAGTCAGTCATTAATTTGTTTCAAGTTAATCTCATCATGTGTAATTTGATTCCGTTAAATTTATTCATCTCTAGTTAATTTGACACTGTTTAAATTAATCAAATGATATAGGTAACATTTTCATCTAGTAAAAAAATGTTTAGCTAATTGCTCATAATATACACAGGGTGGACCAAAAACTGAAGCAGAAAAAATTCAGGATGAAGTTCAACGTCAAGTTGCAAAATGTACCTGTGTTCATCGATTTAAAGTGTATCAAGTGGGAGAAGGAAAATATAGGGTTCGTATTCTATAAACATTCACCAGTTTTATTTCTTACAAATCATATATCTCTTGTTCATGAGTTCTGTTTTCATTTATTTTTTTATTTTTTTAATATTATTTATACTGTAAAATATTCCAAAACTGAATATGCAAATATTAATTCTTATTACAGCTGTCAAGTGTCATTATTACAGTATCACGAGTCTTTAAAATAATTTACATAACAGACCCTAGGATATATTTAGTATAGCATATAACCTATTCTGTGTCAGCTAATTATTAGATTTATGATTATGGATTATGGCTAGTTAAAAATAAAAATGGAGCTAACCTTCATTCCAGTTACTTTTTTTTTAAAGGAAAAATAAAAACCTAGTTCGTGGACTGTGATAAACTTGAATGTAACATCCTATTTTTTTTTTAAAGAAATGCTTATAGCTATGTTAACTTATTGTTAATCGGATATTTAATAAAAGTAATTAAAATTAAGGATTTTAATTTAATGATGAAAAATAAAATCCCAATGCCAAGAAGATATCAATTAAGAGGGATGAAATTTTGGCAAACCATTTATCTAAGTAACATATTTATTTGATTAATATTTCAAGGTAAAAGATTAAAGTATGTGCAAAAAGAGCCATTTCAAATGTGAAATGGTGGTACATTAATAACTGCCATAGTCATCACAATGTTGAAGGCAAGTATGCAGACATGCACATATTGTGCCGTACAATTGCTGTATGTCTTTTGTGGGATGGAGTTCCATGACTGTTGCACTTGGTCAGTCATATCAGCAATACAGTACAAAGTCCGAAATCTGTACGTCCATTATCCAGAATGATCTAAAATCCAGACCTCAAAGCCACAAACTTTTTTTAGGGGGGGGTATGCTTTATGCATGCGCATTTGATTTTTCTTTCCATAATAAAACATGTAGAGATTTTCACTTAAAAATTCCGATTCTTAATTTTACTTAGGTGCTAAATAAAATACATTGTTGTGAAAAAACAATTATGTAAGCATAAATTTGTGAGATTAATAATTTGGCTCCATGGCTGAGTATCTGCTTTGCATTACATCTCAAACCGAAACATTCACCTATTTTATATCCCTGATGCCGACCTGGCAAGTCATTATTTATTATATTTTGCTTTTATCACCGCGTGTTTATCAATACTTGACAGCTTCAGTGATAACTCATGCAGTGATGTCTAAACTTTTTTTTTGTATTAGTTATTGAATAAAAAGAGTAGGGCAACCTTTTCTGCTAACATTACGCTTGGCGAAGATTATAGATTTTTTAAATGCTCTAAGAAGAGTTGATGAGGAGAAATTCAATAAAAATTTCTTTTCATATGCTAAAAATAGATTTTGTTAATAAAACTCAAGGGCCAAAAGATCACATTTAGTGCAAATTTAATTAAGAATAACTGTTATGCTATTCACCATAAACCCAGAAGCGGCGGCAGAATATGGCTGCATCGGACGGCAGAATTTAGGGAAGACATAATTTTTGGAATTTGGGAAAGCCCCGAGGGGCAAAATTAAGGGATGAAAAGTTTTTTATAATTTAGGGGGAAAAGCACTGGAATCCAAAGTTTAGGCGTGGGAAAATTTAGAACTTAGGAAGGCGCTTTGTAGCAGAATTTAGAGACTGCACCAGGCTGTATCTAGTCCCGGCCCTAGATAAAGCCTTAAGTATATGTGGGAGTTTATTTATTTAGGACTCAGATTAGTTTTAAGCATGTGCAAGATATAAACTTAGGATAGTAAGTAACTAATACAATTCAAGCTTAATTCAGGACGCAATAGGAGCAAGACAAAATTTAGCGGAACAATTTGTCTTTCGTTGCCAATCTTGTGATACACAACCAATAATGTATAACGGACGCTATTAAGCTAGGCTAAAATTATATTAACTGATTCTAAGGTATTTCAGTTAATGTAGCAGACTGTGCTGCTCCTTAATCTTCTAATTTGATCCAGCTTATTACTTTTTGCAGACTTATTATTTCAGCAATTTTATAAAAATTAAGCTTGAACTTTCAATTATATCGAAAAGAGTTTCCAGTTCTGGAGCTGCCAAAGGATCTACAAAGCGAAGCCATGTTTCGATGTCCATTAAACAAAAAGTGGAGTTGCTGCAAAAAATTTGATAAAGGTATATCCGTCTCAAAATTATGTGAGGGATATGGCCTTAGAAAGTCAACTGCATATGACATAAGAAAAAGGAACTTTTTGAATTTTTTATGGAAGCAACTTAAACAACTTACATTGAAAGAAATGTTTAATAAAGCAAACAAATAAATATTGAGCTTTTTCATGTAAATTTTGATACCCTTTAGATCATAATTGTTCTTTCTTTCATAAATTACAATTTCATATTTTTAATTGTATAATTTCTGCATGCCATCTTACCAGATTTAAATGGATGATCTATTATCCGGAAAAATCCGGAATTGCCGAAGTCCCGACGAGTCCGGATTTCAGACTTTGTATTGTAGTCTATTCTGGTTGTGTATGATGTTGTATTTGTTATCTAATGACATCCCATGCATACCGATGAGAGAAAGATCAGATCTTGCAGGCCTAGACAGTATGTTGACACTCTGTATAGTATGTCAGGTAATCACAGCAGCATGGAGACAAATCTTGTCTTTTTTTAAAATGGCCCTGAAATATTGCTCAAGAATGGCAGCATAACTGGTGCAATCACCAGTCTAACATATAAATTTGTTGCCAAGGTGTGTGGGATAACTACAAGAGTGCTCCTGCTGTCATAGGAAATTGCTTTTCAGAACCATAGCTCCTAATGTAGGTCCAGTGTGTGTACACTGCAAAGGGCTTGGTTTGAAGCACTAACCTGGCTTCCTTCTAACCAACATACAACCATTACTGGCACCAAGACAGAAACGGCTGTCACCTGAGAACACAATGGATCTCCTCTTTGCCCTCAAATGAACTCTAGCTTAGCAGAAGTGAAGTCATAGATAGCATTGATGTGGAGTTAGTGGTATGGCCGTTACAAGGCTCCTGGCTCAAAGTTGTTCCACAAGTAATCATTTTGTTACATTTCATTGTGCAATCTGCTGCCAAAAAAAGCTCAGATGTCTACTGCAGATGCAATGCAATGCATCATAGACATGCGGCGAATATGGCGGTCTTTTTTTGAATGGTGAACTCTAGCCTTCTTGAGAACACAACCTTCTTGTGACCACTGCTCTAGTACACATATACATTGGATACATCCTCGCTAAATCTTTCGGCATTGTTGCAAAAAGAAAATCATCCTTGTATTTAAAGCAAACGTGATTTTCATATTCATAATGGTGCTACTATTGTTGCACTTTTTCATCTTTCACAAAATTTGACTAGATGGTATCTTTCAGGTGTGCAAACATACCCTGCCAAATTTTGTTTAAGCACAACTCCTTGATGTTGGGATTTCATTTTACATTAGCGTGTGTGTATATAAACGATTTTAGGAATAACTTTATTCAGTTTCCTTTATTTTGTGCAAAATTATAAGGAAGATGCTACTTGAGAGCTGTGATCTTGCAAAGTTAGTAAAATATTTTTAGATTTTAAAGACATAAAATTATGATATGTAAGTAGCTTTGCTTATGATAGGCAAATTTCTTACAGTTTGGAGATTCTCAAAAGCTTAGGCTTGTAAGAATTTTGAGGAGTACTGTTATGGTTCGAGTTGGTGGAGGATGGGTTGCTCTTGATGAATTCTTAGTGAAAAATGATCCTTGCCGAGGTAAGAAAGTAATTTTAATTTCACTAATCTTAGTCTCATTAAATGTGGTATTTTATAAGCCAAGAATTTTTCAGCTTTCTTTTTTTTTTTTTTTTTTTTGTAACTGTTGAGAATATGTTTCATTAAAATATTTTTTTTATCAATTTAAACTATTTTGGAGAATAATTATTTTTATGTGCTTGTCCTATCTCAGTGATAGCAAACTTGTGACGTCCGTGTTGTGACACGTGAACCTGTTTTGGATGGCAATCTTCACAAATTTCCAGTGCCATCCACAAAGACAAAAAATTGCATAAGACAAAAATATTTGCAATGGCATCATCATTATCAGCATGTGGTGCGCTTACCTTGGACGCATTCAAGTATATTCTTAGCAGATGGTGGCATGGATGGCAGAGGGATGGTTCTATATGTGACACGGCACCAGAGTTAAGCTAGGGTGTTTTTTAATTGTGACATGCAGGCTCAAAAGGTTTGCCATCATTGTCCCATCCTCTGAAACTGGAGTGTATTTAGCCTCTGTAAGAGCATACATTGGCATAAGAGTTATGGTATTTTTATTTTTTTCCTTAATAATGTCTATATTTATTATAATCTATATGGACATATTAGTCAAATTTGACTAAACTCAGGTGAATTATAGTGTCACAAAGCAGTACTTCAAATAAAAATTTCAGTTATAGAAGTAAAACTAAAAAATTATTAATTCTCTACATGGGATTATGATAACTAGAAGTCATAAACATGACACTTAAATGTGTAAAACACAAGTCTACACCAAACTATGAATGAAGTGCCTACTTAGCTTAGCAAAGCTCTCACTGAAATTTTGTGTGGCCTAAATATTAAAACTTTAATTTCACTTCCCATTTTCACTAACCTGGCAATTGAATAATTATCTTACAACTTCAAATTCCAAGTGCAGTTAGTATCAGGAAGGCATAGTAATGTTACAAATAGTAATATGTCACAAAATTTCATGCATGACTTTTCAGGGATGTACTCTTTGTCCTTTTGTTAAATCCTTAATTGTTGTATTTCTCAATTAGATTGATATTTCAGTGGGAATGGATAATTTCAGCATGTTCTGAAGGTTTTTAGGAGATGGTAAAAAATATGAAAATATAAACATATCAAAAAATCTACTACCAGTGATAGTAAATCATGTTAGCTTTGCTTTGGACCCACCTCTGCATTACAAAACTTCGTTTTTTTAAATAAATATGTGTTCATAACTTTGCTTTTAGCTATTTCTGTTACTACTACTTTCTTTTAGTAGAACTATTTCTTTAAGCTTTTTAAAATTCCAATACAATAACAATTTTTCTGCTGAAATTATTTCATTTGGTATCTGTATATATTGTATTACTCTCACACATACTGTAAATGTTTAATTTATTCAAAATTTAAGCATTTTTATCATTTAGTTATAAAGGCCACTTTGGAAGATATTTGTGTGTAGTTAGGCACAAGTAGTGGCTTTAATGCTTGTTATTCTTTGTAATTTGACATCAATCATCCTATAAAATTTTTTAAATTCTTGAAATTAAAGAAAAGTATAAGTTCCATACTTTGCAATCTTTTGAACTTTAAGAATAATTTACCATATATAAAAGTTACTGAAGCTCTGCGTAGTTTTGGAGAGGGTTGAATTACAAAACATGGAATGTTTGAAAGCATCTTTTGTCATGGAAAAATTCAATTCATTCATTTTTTATAACTTCATGAGCTTAATTTATATTTAACTGTATAAGAATTGTGATTATATTGGGTTTAATAGCCTAAAAATGTATAATGGATGAGTTTTCTATATTTTATTATTATTTATGTAGTCTATGAATTTCTGTTTATTTTGTTTATACAATAATGTGTATATTTGAATTACATTGTAGTAGATGTTTATATTCTGTGATATTTAGTAATAATTCTGCTACACATGTACTGAACAAATCTTTAACATTCTCTGTCTAGTTTTTCTTTCACTTATCTGATCCTTTATATAATGAAGTTCTGATCTCTTAAATGTTTATTTCTTTCTGCTTTAATAGGCTGCAGGGAAGAAGCATTAAAACTAACAAAACTTTTAATTCACCAATCTAAGAAAACTGTGATTTCTAGTATTTCTAACTCAAATGAAAGTCTCTAACCTTGAAACAAACTGCATAAATGCTTGTGTTTTCTTATCTTTTGTATAATTCCCTTCTGACCTGATCTAACCATGATAAATTTCTCCATATGTTAAACTAAATGCTCAATGCACTAAAAGCTGAATTTGCTAAACTATGGCAATTATCCTCTTTATATGCCTAGTACTAATCTTACCTTCAAATAAACTTATCTACAAATTTCTTGCAAATTTTCTAACACATACATGTAAGTTATACCATAAACATAGAATATAGATCGCTTATGTACAGTGCATGAGTTTAAAATAGTATACCCAGCATGTCTATATTTACTATCATGTAGCGAAGGGACGAACAAACCTCGAGTTGCGAGAACAGTTTATATTGGCTGATGGAGTAAGCCAGTCAATGGCTCCATTCAAACCGAAGCCAAGTCCTAATTCGTCAGTTTCATCACAAAGTGGAACTACCACCTCCATGCCTTCCGCTGGTCCAATAACTAAGGTTTGCTGCCAGAATGCTTTTAGATATTTTTAATATGTATTTATTTTGTTTAATTTTAGCTTTAATTATTATTAAGCTTATTTTAGCTTTAATTACTATTAAACGGCATATGAGAGAAATGAAAATGCTGTCATTTCTGTTTTATTTCTGTTATATGTATTTTGTTTGCTTGTAATGCCTGTGTATAAAGATTTTTTATGCTTTTATGATTGTTTTTGTGTGGTTTGTTTGTTTTTGCTCTCTCAATCTAGCCTTTTGACGCTGAAAATAGTTTTGAAAGCATTTGATGTGGAATGTGGTTTTAAGTGTGTGGGGGGAGGGAGGATAAAATATGAGTAGATATATTAGGACACATTTATGGCATAATCAGTGAGATAAGGGTATGAAGTTATTCTCTTAGTTAAACTGAGTTCATTTTCATGATACCAGGCCAAAAAATGAGAATGACTGTGCAGAACAAGCAGTAAACTTAACTGAAAATTCTGAGATATGGCTAGTGCACTTACCCTCTACAATGAAATTAAAATACACAGGTAATATCATTTGTACAGCTAATATCTTTTACAAATGAAGAATGCTTAAAAGAAATCCAGTTCACCAACTAAAGATTTTTTTAAAACTTGTTTACAAGGGGGGGGATATTGAAAGAATAGTTAGGGTTCGATCATGAGAATCGTGTTTCCAGACAAAATTTTGAAGTTTGCCTGATGTAGACCCATAATAAGCCACACTGGCAAAAGATACTGTAAAGTATCCAGAGATTTTTGTAAGATTTATGGTCTTTAAAGATTAAACAGCAGTTTTTATTAAAAGGGAGAAAATTTTAACTTTCAAGATATTTTTTCTCTTAAGAAATGAGCTTGATCTTACCTGTGAAATTGGTCAAGTCCCATATCTCATTGTTAATGTGATTAATTTGTTTACTTTCATAATTTTTGTGTATGTTTTCTACATGGAGCTCATGCATAGAATTATCTTATTTTAAAATTCAGTTCTGTTTATACACACAAATTCGATAATTCCATTTAATGAAAATGTCCATCAGTTTGCACTTCTAGGTACTAAATTATGAAAGTTTATTAGATGAGTGAAAAGGGGAGAAAAGGCTTTATCTTTTTACATGCTTTTATTCACAAAATGTATCCTCTTATTCATTACAACATGTATAAGAAATTAAGAATTTATTTTAAAAAGGGGAAATTAAATTTTACTTTTATTAAAAAGGGGTTAATTAATGGAAAAACCTATTTATAGGATTAAAAGTTTTTTTTTTGGGGGGGGGAGATTTCATTTCATAATTACATTAAGATAAGCATATATTTTAATGGTATGTTTAACTTAATAAGTATGTTTTCTATTTTTGTAATGCCTAACTTCTCCACATGGTTTAATTCTGCTTGTATCTCTGAGAGTAAAGAAAAAAATTAAGGTAAATATGGTAGTGTTTAGTTACACATTTAATAAGGTCTCAAGCTTCTTGAGAATGTCTTAACAACAAGATTTAGGGGATTATTAACCATTGTTTTCATTCTCAGCTTTATCATATTTTAAGGAAACTCTGCACTGCATTTTTAGCAATAATTTAAGGATTTATTTGCTGAAATTAAGAAAATGGAAGAGGAAAGATTGAATTTTATTTGTATAATTCTTTGCATAGATAAATATTTTTTTTTCTTTCAAAGGCTAAAATTATAGTCATTAGAAATAAACTTCAGAAAAAAAAACATTCATGATCAAATAGCAATTTCCAAGCTTCTTGTAACAGCTATCTACATTGGTGCAATGAGTGCAGATTGGTTCCTTGTAATGCAGTGCTTGTACATTAGGAAAATATTTAAAAAAAAAATTATATTAATTGCCAAGTATGGAGTTTTTGGGCATCGTGTTTTTGGGCATGCTCAGAGCAGCCATCACCTGGTTTTCTGTAGGCCTTACTGCAATCCTAAAATAGAGAGTGACTGAAAAATATCAATTTTTTTTTTTTCCCCTACAGGAGATGCCATTTTCAGAATGATAATACTCTTATCCATACAACTAAACCTGTATAACTGAGGTAAAAAATACTAGAAAATATATTTCCTGACCCATAACAGTGCCCCAACATCAATATCATTTAAACCCTATTAACTGTCAATAAATTTATATCCAACATGGCATCACCACAAGGACTTGCATGTTTTTTCCACGATACATGATATAATATTTCCTTAACCAATATTCATAATTAAGACACAATAACACACCAAAAAAAATCTAATTCAGAAGTCAATCAGCGTTATATTTTCAAATTTTCACAGGGCTAGTTTCAATGGTTTTACCGAACCACCATCGTCAGCTGCAAAAGCACAAATGGCATTTGTGAAATTTTGAAAATATAAGTCCTGTGAAATTTTGAAAATATAACACTGATTTTTGTTGTTTGACTTCTGAATTACAATATTCATAAATTGTACAATTCTATTCCTACTCAGATTCATTCGGTATTGTATGCCACAGTTCTTTACACCATATTAATTAAAGGTCTCATACTTGATTTTGTTTTCGTTATTTTGGTTACCACCTCTATGTTTAAAAGCAGTACCAAACACACATATTTGTAAAGCAAAATTTATTTTGAAATTGTTATATTCAAATCTGAACGAGTTTGTATTAAATATATACAACTTGGAAAACTCATTACTGGGTTATTGTAAACCACTGTCCATTTTTATAACCCTCACTATGTTTATGTGTGAATGTAATGTATCACCCATTCTTGCATTCTTCTTATCAATTCCTCACTTCTAAGTTGTCAAACCTGAATTTGTGACATGCTTCCCATATGCATATTTGTTATTTTTTCGTTATTTTCATTAAGCATAATTGGTTTGTTCTGTCTCAAAACAGACAGCTTCATTTAAATGTTGTTTATTTTAGAGTGAAGTCAGAGACACATCTTTCTTCCCCACCTTTTTTTTTTGAGGTTTAAATAACACAAAGAAACAGTTTCTTTTGAAAGACATTAGTTTTATGCTTCTTCTTTGCAACAAATTAAAGCTCTTTCATTGGCAAATGTTGTTCGTCGCTCCATACAATTTATTTTCAGCTCCATTTTTGTTAATGAGGTGCATTCCCGTGCAAGATTTAAGGCCTCTGTTCTATAGGCCTGTTCCTTCTGAATTAGGATCAAGAATTCCTGTCTATTGTTGGGTAACATTCTCTTTCTTACATACTAATTTTATTTTTTAACTTTCCTCTTGCAGTCTAGAATCATTTTCAAGTATGTGTAAGTTTTGCAGATTAAATATGCTGGTGATTAAAAAATAATATAATTAAATCTTAATTTTAAACTATTCTTACCGTTGATAGTATCAGTAGTTTTTGGAGCAGAAATATACGCAGCTGGCAATTAAAATTACAACACCAGAAAGGAATGATCTGACAAACGTCAAAATCACATGAGAGGAAGAAAAGGTTGGGATATGCAAATGATTAGTATTTCAGCCCATTTAGACGACATAGGAGGGAGAAATGATATCTAAAGATCTGCATAAAAGAAAAGTTGTAAAGTGGATTTCTCATTTGGAAAGCATTTTGTAAGATCAGAGTTTGCTCAGAATATCGTGTTATGTCTTGAATAATAAGAAGAAATGCTTACCAGCAAGTGTCAGAAAGCGATAGAGGCAGGATCGTGTTATGTCTCGAATAATAATAAGAAATGCTTACCAGCAATTGTCGGAAAGCGATAGAGGCAGGATCGTCGCCTTTCAAGAGTGTGGATTATCGTTCCATTATATCGCCTGTTGCACTGATCAACATCCATCCACTGTCGTGCAAATACGGAGTCAATGGGTTGCTGAGGATCATGTTGAACTGCATGCTGGACCGCAACGCGCTCCTATGACTAACGCACGAGAGAAAAGGCATATTGTGAGGTCAGCCCTGCAAACCCATACAGCCACATCACGGACGATTAGTCAGGAAATGGGCATGTTTGCTGCACGTCTAGTATCCGCTGGTATGGTGCGTCGACCTTTGCAGCTGCGTGGACTGAACACGACGATCATTACTTCGGCTTCCCTTGACCAATGCAGCATAGAGAGAGACAGCGACTCGGGTGCATCGAACGACAAAGCTGGATAGAGAAGTGGCACAACGTCGTTTTTTCAAATGACTCTGGTTCTTCATGCAGTATTCTGATGGTCGTATATATGTCAGGAGGCTCCGAGGAGACCGCACGTTGCCTGCTTGCATTCGATATCGGCATAGGGACCCTGCACCTGTTGTAAAGGTTTAGGCAGCCATTGGGTGCAAGACACACACATCTCTAGTTCGGATCGATGCAGATCCGAAGTAAACGGTAATTTGAACGCAGGGCGGTATATTTCTGACATCTTACATCCAGTAGTTGTGGCCTATTTTCGAGGCCTGCCAAATGCCATCTTCCAACAAGATAATGCAAGACCACATGTTGCACGTCGTGTTCTGACCTTCCTCGATGCACAGGGTATTTGATTGCTGACCCGGCCTGCATGGGTTCCAAATTTGTCACCCATTGAAAACATCTGGTCATGGGTTGCTGAGAGACTGGCCTGCCACTCTTCTCCAACTAATACGTTTGATGAAGAGTGGCAAAATTTGCATGGACTGAGTTGCCCGTTTCTGTCATCCAAGCCCAGTTCGGCTCCATGCCAAGCCAGGTAAGGACCGTTTTAGATGCGAAGTGTGGCTAAGTGTCTACTAATTTTGCACCCCTGTAAACCCCAAACTGCTTACAAATTTAATCATTTTATCTTCATGCCATACTGGTTTATGTACAATAAATATCTCTTTTTATATTTGCTTTCCTTTATGGGTTGCAATTTTAATTGCCAGCAGTGTACATTAAAAAATTCTCAAGAATTGGTTGATTGCAAAAATTCATACCTGATCTTCATAGATTGTGGCAACATTAAGCTAGATTGCACAGGCATTTATTTCATGGCTGTACTGTATGTCAATGGTTAGGTTGGTGTAAGGTGAATGTGTTAGTGGCAGATGCCATTCAGTGCAGTCAGTTTGCAGGTGACAAAATTGTGTCAAAATGAAGAATGAAAGGTTACATTTGCACCCTGTTACATTGCATAAGTTTTGAGAAGAACAGTGATGCAATCGGAGGGGGTAATTCAGAGCGTGTATTTTGATTGTTCCTGTTCTAAGAATAGTGATAATGAGGTCTGACAGATTTCGAAACGGCGATTTTAAATGAGGCAATAAGCCCATTCTGAATGACCTTTTGGCATTGATGATAATACTGTGCATGCCTTAATGGAATAGCCCAAGGAAACTGCTGAGAATCTGAAGGTTAATAATGAGTTATATAAAATTATTCCATATAAAGAAACTCAAATTTGCTTGCAAACTCTGTATGCGCTGCATTGACTGACAGAAAAGAATAACCTTGAACATGTCTTTGTGGACATTCATCATCTATTCAGATCCCATGAAAAGAGACATTTTGAGAATCCAGTCATGACAAGTGATGAAATGTGAATCCTGTGCAACAATATAGAATGAGAAAAAAAATCCTGGAAGCAAACAGCTGAATGGCACAAACCAAGGTAAGAATTGTTTTACTTTCAATGAAGGTGTTGGTCTAGTATGATCGTAAGGAAGTCATTTTCTTAAAGCTTTTCCTACCTCACAATAGAACCATGAGGAAACGAATAACTTGCTAAACCCAGTATAGAAATTCTTACAAAACGTTCAATTTTGGCACCTCGAAAAGGCCTCCTCCATCATGACAATGCTAAACCGCATGTTGTCAAAATGACGCGCAGAAACTGAAAAATGTGAAATCAGAAATTTTTCCAGTGCTTGTCATTTCTTTAGACCATACTCCTTCAGAATTTCATCTGTTTTCAATTCTGCAGAATAGTCTGAATGGCAAGAAATTTGTTCTGCCAAAGTTGTTATAAACTCCCTGAAGAATTTCTTTGCAGGAAACCTATGCAACTGTTACATATTTCCTATGTAAGTTTGTAAACAGAGTTGCTTTGTAGAGCAGATTTGGCTTGTAAACAGAGTAAAGTTTGTAAAACAGAGGCAATTGCAGGAAATATTGGAGTCTATATCATACATTAAAAAAAACCTGTTTTAACTCCCAAATTGGGTATGAGATTTTGCATCTGTCCAATACTTCCATAAAGAACATTTTATTTTTTTTTTTCCGTTCTATGTTCATCCAAAAAAGTGATGATTTATATTTAAAAATTTCATATTTCAATGTATTTTTATCGATTCAAACTTACTGCAGTCCAGATGTATCCTAATTCATATACTTGGAAATATCGACAGGAAAATGAGTTGAAAAATTTCAAGTAATTGAAAATTTGAGTTAATTAATTTAAATGTCACCTAAAAACAGCGGTATTTTATCAAGGTGTGCATTTAAATGCCGGGTGTTTAAAAAAAATATCAAACTACTAAATAGGCTCTTAACTGGTTGATCCTAGGAAGTGGATAGAGTTTTGATCATGTGACAACAGTTAATAAAATGACATCAAATTAAAATTTTTATGCGAGCACTATAGTGGAAAAAATGAATGAAGAAATTGTTTTTGGTAGGCAAATAGGGGCAGAGAATTGAGATATTTGTATGTTGTGCCCTGAATCAGAGGTTTTGGGCATCATGTACGAATATTACAAAAGAGAGTTATACTTTACAGTTTTAAAAATGCCAGTTTCTGAAAAATATCTTTTATGTCATAAAGACATAAATGACAGAATGATTTTTAATTCCATCTTCTAAATCCTCAAATTCAAAGTTTTTTTAAAATGTAATTCAGTTTTAAAGGAACCATAATCTGTATTTTCTGTGTAGGTGAAAATAGTTCAGGTCATGTGATTTGTAGTTTTCTTCAATTCCAGTTTTAAATATACTAAAACTATGCTTTTAAAAATCTGTCTTTGTTGGGATTAAAAAAAAAAAAAAAAAAATAGCTATCATACCTTTATTCATAAGGGAAATGAGTGAAAATTTTAATTTTGCCTATTTTATCAAAAGTTGTCATGTGACCAGAACTGTCATATCCAAGATGCTTATCTTTATTTGATCGATTTAAATTAGAAGTACCGATCTGTACCCTGTACAAATGCACACTGTACATTGCACCATCAGTATAGAGGTAGCATTGAATGGACTGATAGCTATAAAGCATATAGTACTTGAAATACTACTTGTCTTGTCTTGTCTTGAAACTGAATAATGTAGTCTACTTGAAAATGATAATGTAGTTTAATAAAATATTTTTTTTTTTTTTTTAGTAAACTTTTGCATTCAGTACGGGAAATAGTAGAATTTAAGAAAAATTTTGTATTCTCTGATACAAGTAACCCATGTTCTTTTGATATGTATTTTTGAAAAGTGCTGAAAGAAGAAGTCATATTATTAAAACGGAATCAAGAAATGTATGAATGTCAAGTAATATATGTAGGAAAATATAAAATTCCGCTCCAGAAACAAGTGTAAAAAAAGAACAAAAGTAGAAAAGTAAGATGATTAAACAGAGAAACAAAATTATTTTCGTGTTGAAAAGTTTAAATTGCCTGAGAATTTATAAAATAAATAAATGAGTCAACATTCTGCAGAAAATTTTATTTGAAGGCAATGAAAGTGGTTTCTGTTTCATTTGTCCTTGGCATCATTTCTAAAGACTTTTGCGTCTTTTAAATCACTTATTGTTTTGCCATAGTATGATAACCCTGATCAACAAAAACACATTTTGTTACTTTGGAAAGTAAGGGTAGCTTTAGATATGTTTTGGACACTGATTTTAAAAATGTCATCGGTTTGCCTATACATAAGCCTTAGTTTTTTAAAATATTAGTAAAACCATTTTAGATGCTAGTATGTATAGAAAATTAGAATGGATAACTTTAAGCAGGCTTAATATGAGTTCTTTTGCACAACAGCAACAAATTAGGTTAAAATGAAATGAAAATTCTTTCAGTATGAAAAAGTGTAAGAGACTGTTAATTTAATCCTAGAAAGAATGAAGTATCAAGAATATTGAACGTTTGTATCAAGAAAATGTGTGCTTTAAAACTGAAATTAGTAGATGCACAAAATAAGCACGCTTCTTATATCTTTGGGACAGCAGAAAGGGGGAATGGATTTCAAAAGAATGACGTTTGACAAAATATTTAGTAATTGGAGAACAAAATGTAATTCTGCATTTTTGGGTTGATAAAGACAAAAGTAATCTTGCTATCATTAAATTTCAAATTAACACTTATAAAGCAATTTGTGATAGTTTTAAATAAAGGTTTGTGCTTTATTTATTTATCGAATAAAATCTTCAAACTGAGTATGGAAAAATGACAGCAGGAATACTCTAATAATAAAGCTTATAATATTTCTATAATTATGTAAACATAATTAAGTTTTATATCTGATCTTCGTGTGCATTAGTTAACTAGCACATTTACTGTTTTATAGTACTTAATATGCGTGATTCTTTTAGGTACTTGTGTTTTAAAAAAGCTGTATTTTAAATAAATTTATGCAGATTTAATTACATTTTATGAATATTATAATGCTTATGCTTAGTTTCATGTTCGGGGTTTTGTATGAGTATTAATAAAAGACTTAGCATAGATGAAAATTCATGAAGTTTGTAACACAATTTTCAAGCAGTCTGTTACTATAAATTGTTAATTTTATTTTTGTGAGCTATACTTTGTTTAGTTTTCATAAAAAAAGACCATTTTTGTGTAACATTGCTGTTTCTGTAATGAATAGCAGTAGGTTATTCAAAATTTTTTACAAGATTTTGATGCAGTTGAAAATAATTCCAGAATTCTGTTCAGTTCTGCAAGTTTAATGTCGAGCTATTATTCAAAACTCCAAAATATATAGGCCTACCGATGGCTTGAGTGGATAACTACTGAACAGGTTCTACTAACAAACTACTCAGGTTCTACTAACAAATGGGCTGGCTGCTTGGAGTTTGTGTGATATGTAAATACAAGCTAGTTTTCCCTACAAAAGTCTTCCATGAAGGTATACCTTCTTTTCTTTTTGTTTTCTGTCATTGCTGTTTCTGTAATGAATAGCAGTAGGTTATTCAAAAATTTTTATGAGATTTTGATGCAGTTGAAAATAATTCCAGAATTTAGTTCTGCAAGTTTAATGTCGAGCTATTATTCAAAACTCCATAATATATAGGCCTACCGATGGCTTGAGTGGATAACTACTGAACAGGTTCTACTAACAAATGGGCTGGCTGCTTGGAGTTTGTGTGATATGTAAATACAAGCTAGTTTTCCCTACAAAAGTCTTCCATGAAGGTATACCTTCTTTTATAAATAGCCTTTGTGAGCTTAATTAAGATCAACAATGTTCCAGATTTAGTTCCTAGCAAATGGGATAACTGCAGAGAGCTTTTCACATCTGTAATATAAATGTAAACTAGTTTCCCTTAATTCTACTAGTCTTCGTATGCTTTTAGCATAATCAGTAAATGAACCCAAATATTATCAAAGTAAATTTCACTAAAGCTATGTCTTTTAAAGTTTTTCAACACATTAAAAAAGCGAATGTATGATTATTGTAGGCAATACATAGTTTTTTAAAACAAGTATCATTACAAGTCATTTTTGTTTTCTGTCATGGCATCTACAAGTTTTCTGTTGTAATATACACATATTTATGAAAATTCGATTAATTGATTTTAGAATAACTTTAAATGCATGTCCAATATATTGAATTTTTTCTTATTATGTACACATTTATAATTTTGAACTTTAATTTTATATATCTCACATTTGTCTTCAGATTAGAGAAAAAAGTGAGAGAAGTACACCAATGCGTCAAAGTCGTTCATCAGCAGAAAACAGTAGTGATATCAGTGGACCAAGTTTCAGTGAAACAGATAGTTATAGCAACAGATCTGGACTTTCTCGAATGACTCCTTCATCAGCTCATCTTAGCCCTAGAAGTAATTTGTGTTTTCCTACTATGAGCAATTCATCTGTGCATAAATGTTATCAAATAGTTGGAGATTAACCACCCATGCATTCAAATTTTTTTTGCATTAATATAACCACTATTTAAAATTTGATCTTTTAAGGACAGTTCAAATATCTCCTGATGTGAAGCATTCAATACGACTAACTATTTATAATTGAAATTTCTTTACTTAAAATCCAAACTTAATTTTCTATTTAATATAAACTATAGTTTAAAAACTGTTTAGCTGTTTTTTCTTGTTATGCATGTGCTAATCCTGTATATGGTGCTGAAAGTGTTATTTCCTGAAATATTGATCTTATACATGTGCTTCCAGTTACAGAGTTTCTTAAAGTAAAAGTTGAGAATTTTATGGAAACAGTTTCCTGATTGGGGACAGAACTGTTTTGTAAATGCAAAATTAAAATTTTTTATTAGTAAATTGTTCACTGTAGTTAAATAAATTACAGTGTTGGAAAAGTTGGCTATAAGCATAATTCCTTTGAGTGTTGACCTTAGTCATAACATTTCTCAGTCTAAAATAGCAAATTTTATTATGCACAGAATTTGTGGATATATTTAAAAATGAATTTACTAAGATTACTTTTCAGTACTTATTACAGAAAAATTCTGATCAGCTTTAACAAAGGTGCAATTAAAAATGCCCATTTTCATGATTAATGACTGTATTGTGAGTAAAACAGCATTAGTTATCAACATTTGGTTGTATGAAATTATGTAGTACTAACTTTTCACATACGAAATTCGCAGAGATGTTAATCCATGGAGTCAGCTACAGTTTTTATAAAAAGTACTGTTTTACCTCAATATAGAATGATTAATTGCCAAAATGCTACTTTACACTTTGTATAAAATTGCATTTTTGTTTTGTAGTTCTTTCTTAATTGAAAATTTCAATCCCTGATAGTCACTGAAATCGGCAAATTTGCTCTCAGATAACTGCATGCACATAAATAAATAAAATATTTTGTATTTTACTTATTAAATACAAAATTAAAACTTACTAAATGCAAATAATAAATATCTTACTAATTAGACTTTTACTTTAAAGGGACCATATATAAAGTTGACAGTTATTGTGTAACATATATATTCATATATATTATGCAGTGTTTGAGAATGTAATTTTTTAAGATAATTCATAATTTTATTCATTAATATTAATAGACACACACTTGAGTAACATTGCACCAGTTTTCTCCTAATGCATGTACTTGAAAATAATTTTCTGTATGATATAAACTTAAATTTCAGTGCTCCATTTGGTTTTACTTGTTCTTATTTATTTTTTAGTATTCAAAGATTAATTGATTTTATATTCTAAACAGACACAAGTTGCAAATCATCTAGTAGACCATCAAGTCGTCAAGGCAGCCGGCCATCCAGTAGAGCTCCTAGTGATCTTTCACAAGATGGAGTTCAGGAATACAAAAGAAAGCAAAAACAATCTGCACCTGGAAATGGGATTCATCAAAAGTTGCAAAATGCATCCAGCAAAGTTTCAAAACCTGCATCAGAAACAAAAATTCCATCAATAAAAACGACTGTTAAACAACCTTCAAATGTAAAAGCTTCAAGAAAGGAATCCTGGAAGTAGAAAACTAATTTGAATCATTCCAAAGTGAGAGAATGTAAATAAATTTGTAATTTTGTTAAAAACTAGGGGAGGGGATAAGAATTTGATTTCATCACTTTCAAAAAAAAAAATGTAACAAAGTATTGCTATTTCTAGGTATCCTATGCCAAAAGCTGAAAATTGTGTACAGTTGGCCAAACATTTTTCTGAAATGAGTACAGTTTCTTACATTTTTGAAAATTAACTAATTTATGTAATGAAACCCTGTAGCTGAGGCAGCTTCTTGTTTTTAACAACTATAAAAAGTACTACTATGCAATTAATTATTATATTTGCTAGTCCTTGTTTGCAAAATTTGTTAACGCCATGGTGATGGATAAGCAAGCTATAAACAAGCATTACATTCCATTACTTGTTTATGTTGTATTTTTGTAAGTTTGAAAAATTATATGTCTGTGAATTTGAGGGAAAATGCCCACAGAATCTCAGACATGGCCTTATTAAAAATATGAGCCTTAAGGTTAACAAATGCTTTTTGTTATGAAGAATTTTATAGAATATACATTTTGAATGTGGTAACTTTTATTCAGTGATGTTTCATTTGCTTTTTAAGGCCATATTAAGTTAAATCTCTATTTGTTTTCTATTGTATAGAAATATCTCTTCTGTATTGCTGAACTCAGATCTTTTTGAGTTTAAAGTTTAACTGTGCCAAGCCAAGAACGTTTCTGTAGTATAAATTACCAGTATAATCTAGTTTTTCGTTTCAAACTAGCATACTTTCATATTTGCTTGTCCAGCATACATTCCTTCATAAAGGCTTTTATACTTGTTTTCTGTAACCTTACCATGTAAAAATATATAAACATAATAAAGAGATCGCCAAAATTTTGTATTTTGCTATATTCATTGAATTTAATGGAGCATTCCTTTTGGTACATGGTTGCTGCTGTGCTATCTTTATCATAAGTAATGGCTATAAAGATGACAGAGTTTGTAAGTCTCTACATACTAAAGTGTACTAAATTTTTTAAGCATATATGCTATTGAAAAAAAAAATTGTTTAATCTGAGACTTAATATAAATTCTAAAATGTACACTGCGAAAAAAAATGGGACAATTCTACATCTCCCGTTCTACTCGGCCGTTTAACAAAATTCAAATTGCGTTTTTCAAGTCTCTAAAGCGCGACTTATAATATATATTAGATTTATATATAGCATTGTTCTAACATAGGTATTTTGACACAAAATCCGGCTTTTTCTGAAATAACATACCAATTTTTTCCATATTTCAATTCTACGAGTCAAATTATGCCAAGATATTAAATTTTGTAAAATCTAGTGCAAAATTTACGGAGAAATTCAAATATTTATCTTGGCCCAATTTTTTTAGTTTGCTCAAAGAATAATTCATTTGGCAAGCTTCTTAATATGTAGCAACCAATTTTCCCTTCCCTTCCATTATGCCAGACCGGAAAAAAGGCACCTTGTTCCTACATTTTTACATTATGAATGAGCGGAAAAAAAAGCCACATCGTTCCTACTACAAATAGCAAATAGCAATCATGTCAACATTTTAAACCAAAAGTTATTTAATACGAAATAAATATGATCATAACATTTTTAATTGAACACTGAGCTAGGTTTTTTTGATGGTATGTACTGTGTGGTGTTGCGTATTAAGTATCCTTCTTACTGAAACACGGAACAAATAGACACTGGGAAACTACTACTTGATTGCAGGAGGTGGAAAATATAAAACAAGCCAGACACTATAGAGATAGCCATTTTGTTTACTTTCCTAGGTGTCAACTTGTGGTTATACAACACCTTCAAACCACAGGAAAGTACAAATAAGAAAATAAATGGATGATGTTATGGAAATGTTTACAAACTGCATTCTTTGACAGAATATGATGTTTATAGATTCAATTTTTTTCTTTCTTCCAACAAGAAAGTCATCAGTTGGACATCTTTATACCTGACATTAAAAAAGCAGCAGACTTCCTTCAAACAGCAGACACAGCAAACTTCAGTTCTAGACAGTATCATGTGTTTCATAAGTCCTTGAAATTAAGAAAAATAGTGTAAAACATTTAAGAGGAGCAAAAAAGTACAAGTGATATGTTTCAGTGTGAAAAGATCATAAAAAGTATAACAATCCAACTTATGAAAAATTGTGTGCTAAATGAAAAGATATGTTTTGCATTTATGCTCAGAACTGTGAAAAATAAAGAGTTGCTGAAAAGTGAATGATATTAAGACTGATAAGCAATATATCCATTTATATAACTAATAGTGTGTCAAAACAAATCGTGAATTCTGATAATGTGATTTAATTCATTAATCACGTTATATAAGAATTATTCATTAGATAATGTATGGTTATTAAATAGTTTATGATGGAAATAATATAATTGAAGTCAAACTTGACACAGCTGAGACTAATATGTTACCTGCATCTGTATTATAAGAGCATGAAACTCTCACTAAATCATAAGCTAAGTAAAACTGATGTAACATTAGTGTCATATTAGAAACAGAGCAGCACAATATGAAATTATTGATAAATTGTTAGTTTATACAAAAGTAAACAACGAGAATCAAAAATTTACACTGGGTTATCCCAGCTAGCTTATGTTTAAGTATTTTAAAAGAATTATATGATTCACCTATTTCAGACCACCTTAGAATCAGAAAAAGTTTTTCAAAAGAGCACAAAAAGTGGCTATTTTCTGCAATTACCGAAAGTTGTAATGCCATATGTCAGGTCAAGCCATATATACCAGTTAATTAACGACATTAATTATAGCCAGGTCGGGCACCTAAACAGTATTAAAACTATTTTTTCTAACAAATTAGTATGGATTGATTTGTTGGGTCCTTACCACCGAAGTCAATAAAATAGATATCTTTTGGCTCTCGTAGATCACTTTTCTAAATGTGTAGAGATAGTTGTCCTCAAACAAACCTCCGCAAAAATCATGTCTGACTCATTTTTAAACAAATATATAACTATGCAAAAGAGCCCCGGGAAGCTATTTTTAGGGAGACATTTTTAACTCCCTTACATAAATAATTTTTTGTTCAACAAAGAGAGGCGGAGTTCAAAATGAAAGACATACAGCAAATAATTGATGAGGCAATTAAGTGTTCAGATATAGCCAGGGGAAAACAGAAGTTGTTCTACAATAAAAACAGAAGGCAGGTGGCATACACTGTGGGTCGGAAAGTATTGAAAAGGAAGCATTCATCATCTTCCAACCTCAGAATAAAGTGGTGAAATTTGATCAAAACTTCAACTGCCCATTCATCATTGAGAGGATAAAATATGCCACAGTTTATAAAAGCCTGATTTTCCACTGTTAAAACATCTTTACTAGGAACCTGGAAGAAAACCAAGGAGCAGCAATGCTGAAATATCGGAGCCAGTTGTTTCAGCATAGAAAAGAGTTGCAACTTCAATCCCAGCTGAAGGCCAGAAGAGAGTCAAGTTTGATACTGGCATAGAGAAAGTTATAGTTTAGTCGTACAAGAAGAAACACGCATGAAGAGTAGATACAAAGCCAAAGAAACTCGTTCCGAAAAAATCCCACATCCAGTCAGATAATACAGTCAAAAGTCGTTAATCCGGACTCGTCGGGACTTCGGCGATTCCGGATTATAGATCATCAGTTTAAATCTGGTGAGATGGCATGCAGAATTTATAAAATTAAAAATATGAAACCGTAATTTATGAAATAAAGAACAATTATGATCTAAAGGGTATCAAAATTTACAAAAAAAAAAAAAAAAAAAAAAAAAGCTTAATATTTATTTGTTTACTTTATTTTCTTCGCTATCGTAAGCGAATTATAAGGACAAGGAATTTGATTTAAATCATATCAAAGATGGAGTACATCCAGATGAAATACTACATTTAGTAAGGAATTATAAGCCAAATAAAATAAAAACATCTGCCCTGAAGATAAGGATAGTGCTGACAGATCAACTTCCAATTCATTGCGCGGCGGGGGGAAGATGGAGTACATCGAGATGAAATACTACATTTAGTAAGGAATTATAAGCCAAATAAAATAAAAACATCTGCCCTGAAGATAAGGATAGTGCTGACAGATCAACTTCCAATTCATTGCGCGCCGCGGCGTTCCCCCGCCGCAGAGCAGCGTGAAATTGATAAACAGATTTCGGAATGGTTAAATAAACAAAGGATATGCCTTTATCCACTTTTTGTTTAATGGACTTCGAAACATACTTTCGCTTTGTAGATCCTTTACATATTAGTAAATATATATCGGAAATTCTATTTGACATAATCGAAAGTTCAAGCTTACTTTTATAAAATTGCTCTAACAGTCTGCAAAAAATAATAAGCCGGATCCAATTCGAAGATTAAGGAACAACGCAATCTGCAACATTAACTGAATTAGCTAATTTTAGCTTAGCTTATACCGTCCGTTATACATTAAACGCGCATGCGTAAACGTATTTTGGGCATGCGCACATGCATATTCGCAGCAGTAAAGGTCTTACGTGCATGCGTCTATGAGACACATGAGCAAAGTTTGTAGTTTTGAGGTCCGGATTATGGGTGTCAGAATTAACGACTTTTGTCTGTAGTCTGCACGAAAGAGTTTGAGGTTGAAATGTCCAGTCAAATCCAGTTCTCCCCGCATATAAGAAAAAACAAGCAGAAAATGGAAGATGGAGATGCGAGAATTGGCTCTCACTTGTGTGAAGAGGAGGCTAAATTTCAGTTTCCACACACTCGGAGGAAGCGAGGATGGTTTCCCGCCTAAGGTCAATAGTGGAAAAATTCTCCCATGCAAACTCAAGGTTGGCCCATGCAAGACATCGAGTCACATTGATTGTTTTCTGTCATGGAAAGATTTCTTACAGAAACGAATGGCCAATTTCAGAGGTGAAAAAGATATGTGAATTTTTTCTTTCTTCTTAGTTTAAACTCAGTTTATATCATATGCACAGAGCTGCTATATAAAGTTTAGTTTTCCTTAAGCGAGGTCATTTTTTAATTTACAAAAGCAAGAAGCTTGAATTTGTTTCACGATAATGTAATGTATTAAGTTTTTTAGTCGAAAAGACTCACAATTACGAAAAGTAAAATTAGAATTATGGAAAATTTGTAAATAATGTACAGAAACTATATACCTCTGATGTAAAGTGAATCGGAATTTTGAAAAGCTTTTACTTTTTGTGCAGTAAATGTTGTAAGTTATTCTGTTTCAAAAGTAAATGTTTTATGTTAAAAGCCAAAATGTTTGAAAGTTTAAATTATTGTAAATAAAAGTAACTGAATTAAATGCAAGAAAGCATGAAGGAGTTAAGTTTACAAAAACACGCTCATATCTTTACAGAACCAACCTTTGGAGAGCGTTGGAGGAATTAAATTTATGAGTGAATGAAATTGCTTGAAAGCCAAATAAATGTGTTGAAATATAACTTGAAAATGTCGCCAAAGTATCTCTAGGAATAGAGTACTAATGCTTTATCCTTCCAGATATATTGGAAGGGGGCACAAGGGTTCAAGAGAACTATGCAGATTCCAGGAAAGAATATTGTAAAATGAGTGAAATGTTTCTTTTCTCTTAGGCTTAATTTAGAGTGAGATTGTAGAGTTGGATCTTAGAATTTTTTAAAACTTCGATTCTTAGAAGTGAACATTAAGATAAGAGCGTTAAATTTTTGCAAGTACAGTTTAAAATGTAAAATTTACAGTCTGAAATTAGAGAAAAATTTTTTAGGTTAGAATTTAAAGTCTCAACAAGGTCACTGTGAGACCTATTTAGTTCAAGTAGTTAAATTCTGGTAGGAAAAGATATAGGGGTTATTTCAATTTAATAATAGTTATTAGTTTTGAACCGCTTTTCT